AGGAAGGAAGGAAGGAAGGAAGGAAGGAAGGAAGGAAGGAAGGGGATGGAAATTATTGAATGAATGAAGGAAGGAACTAAAAGGAGATATTTTGTGAATGAATGACGAATAATGAATGGATGAAGAAAGGCTGGTAGGCAGACAGGTACAAGCTATGAGTGAATGAATGAGTAATTCGATTGGAAACGGGAAACGTGAGCTGATACAATAATGTATCCATGCCATGGTGCGTATTTTAGAATAGAATAAGATGCGCCATCTGAAAGAAGCGAGTGAATCATATATTAGAAATGACGTCTGCAATAACAAACGTATGTCATCCCCATGTTTGGCAGTTATGGTCTAACGTCACGCCTCTGGTGTTCGAGAAAACCTCGGAACACTCCGACCTCGAGATGTCGTTTGAAGTGTTTGGCCACGGGGACTCGGACCCCCTGGATGGGCCGGGCGGGACCCTGGCACACGCCTTCTTCCCCGGGCCGGGCATCGGCGGGGATGTGCACTTCGACGACTCCGAGACTTGGACCGTGCGCTCTTTCAGAGGTAACTGTTAGTTTTAAATCTCCAATCAGATTCCTCCGGGGACAAGGCACGGTAATTTGATCGTGTCTTGTCCCCGGAGGAATCTGCTTGGAGATTAATCATCATAAGCAACTAGATTATACTTGTTATTCAAGTTACCTTGACAGCTGTCTTAAGAAGCGAGAAGAAGTTGAACCTGCCCATACATGTACTAGTATCAAGGTTGACTCTTTAACCAACCTCCTTGCTAGAACACATTACCTCGTTGATGAAGTAAGATATCAGACTTATATCACTGTAATTGTACCTCTTTGGACGTCTTTATCGCTGTCCCTTGTAACGATGTCCTGATATGTTGCCGCTAATATTTGCCGCTAATATTTGCATGTATTTCCCGGTAGGCACAAACTTGTTCATCGTCGCGGCGCATGAGTTCGGGCACAGTCTGGGGTTGGACCATTCTGACGTGCAGGGTTCTCTCATGTTCCCGATCTACCAGGGGTACACGCCCAACTTCAAACTGCACCAGAACGACATCAAGAGGATCCAGGCTCTGTACGGTACGGAATTACTTTTTTCTGTGTCGTGTTTTTCATGTATATTCATAAGGTTTATTATACCTATACCTATACTTATACCTATATCGACGTAACTATATTCAAAAGCGAGACAATGTTATACACTCCTGACGCAGTATTTTAATATATTATTTACGGATTTGAACTTGCATATAATTAGAGCCATTTATAAAAGTAGGTCAGAAGAATCAAAACTACTTTTAGAATTAGAATTGTAAGATATTAGCAATAGTTTCTCATGTGTACACGTTGCCAAACATTGTACCTGCTACAATTGTACCTGCTAAAATCCTCTCAACACATTTCTACAGGGAAGAAACCCTTCCGTCCGCCGGTTGTGCCACGCCCCGAACCCCCCACCGAGAACCCGGACAGGACTTGCTGCATTCTTTGAGAAGCCGCTGGAGGGCGCTATCGATAGGTTCTGTATTGCTGTCCTGAAATGACGTCATGGAAGGCTCATTGCTCACTGTAATGCTTAGATGTGCCAAACGCGATTGTTTTTTAAAAGGTCCCGTAAAAGAGATGGACACAAACTTGTATTCTTGGCTCAGTGAACGCTAGACATCCGGGTAAACGATACTTTAAAAGACTTACTTCCGGATTTTTCATCACTCTTTTGTGCTGTTTTTTAATAAAGGCTAAAACCATCATCTTATGTTGTCCTGCTTTTTATAAAGTTCATTAAGTGCGAGTTCCCACGTATCGCAAGACAGGCAACAAAAGAGATGATAAGCTAGATAATGGGAGAAAGAGAGAAGGAAAAAGAGATAGTGAGAGGGACAGGGCGTGTGTGTGTGTGTGTGCGTGTGTGTGCGTGTGTAGTGTGTGTGTGTGTGTGTGCGTGTGTGTGCGTGTGCGTGTGTGTGCGTGTGTGTGTGTGTGTGTGTGTGTAGCTGAAACTGTAACTGATCTTGAACTAGTTAAGCTCAAGACAGACAGTTATCCGGTCTGGTGTACGCTTTACCAGTCCCAGACCAACGTCCAAACACTATGATTATGAAGAAAAATGATGCGAAGGAAAAAGTGGACTGCTTTGAAAACATTTTCTAAGAGCTGCATCAGGTTCCTCTATGAGACGGTCTCCAATTGCACCCTAAAATGGCCGACGCTTCTCGCTGCTAAGACACGTAAGGTAGGTCAAGGTCTCGATACTCCCTATTAGTTCATGCGTATGCATCAATTGTTGTATGTAAATACAGCTGCAAGTGTGTTTGACCAAGATCTGACCAGATCCTGTTACGTAGACCCTACTTTACTTACACTGATACGTGCGCCACTGCACGTACGTTCGTCGGAATCAGTGCCAGTGCCATATATATATTATAATGACCTGGATGCCTAACCTTCATCGACATAATTTACTTTTAAACCCTCCTCCGACGGTCTAGACCCCCTCGAGCCTTGTTAGAGGTGATTTTTATAAGGAAAGCTGCAAATATTGGATGGATTCAAAGTGTAAAAACCAAATGCTTCCTCTTGAAATGGTAGTTCCAAGAGACAGGTTTGTATCGTGCCAACCAGACATTAAAGAGCACACCTCTCCAAGAAGGTCGTGTACCGCACCAGAGTTGGAAGGACGCGACAGTAGTCCCTGTTCGAAAAAGTCCCACCCATCAACAATTGGCAAATTACGACCTGTATCACTGACCTCACAACTTACAAAAGTGTCGGAATCCTATGACCGATCGCCAACATTAGATGCATCTTTCGATCCAAGGCAGTTCGGGTGCGTTTAAAGGGAAACCCATGGCAGTGTTGGAAGCATGTATTGCGTTCTAGTATGACAAACAGGACTGACCACAGATCGGACTGCAAGATTTTGGAGTGCAAAAGAGAGCACTTTGGACAATCCTTGGTGTTCGTTACACTGACTACTCAATGGCTCTAGCCACCACAGGCCTTAAGACACTTCAAGAAAGGCGTCTGGACTCTAGCACATTCAGACCCATCAAGTCTATCCATCCCAAACAAACAGATATAGAGACTCACCTATTCCCTATCTGTCTAGGTTACTGAATTGAATGATTGCATAATTATGTGTTTACTTATGCATATTGCAGAAAGTTATTAGTTCGCAGTATGTTCCACAAATTCATTTATTGCCTGCCTTATTTATCTCACGAACTGATGCTTTAACTAAGTGAAAACCAAGTAATGTACTATGAAGTTTATTTTAGTGTCAAGAGTTTAAGAGTAATTTGTGAAGACCTCTGCGAGGTTGTGTTTGCCAAATCTGTATGAAATGCTCAATTCACCCATGCTTGGCTGCGATGTATTTCATTAAATAAACCATTCATTATAAATAATCATGCTGACGTAAGTTGTTGATAGACTTTACCACCGTAGGTGTCGACTTTCCTTTAGTTTAAGGCTTGTTTTGACTGGAATCTTTTGATTACGTCTAAAACTTTTGTTTACGTCTAGTCTAAAACTTTTGTTTACGCCCACGCAAACGCCCACACAAACGCCCACGTAAACGCCCACGCAAACTTCACGGAGGTCTGCGCTGTATGGAGTCGTGCAATTGATCTTGAACCAGTTAATTAGCTCAAAAGGGAAAGTTATCCGATGTGGTGTGCGCATTACCAGTCCCAGGCCTACATCCGACTAACGTCCGAACACTATGATTATGAAGCAAAATGTTGTGAAGAAAAAAGGTGGACTGCTTACTAATAGAAAACATTTGGCAATTTTCCAGACAGTTGTATAGGGCGCCAATAGCTATCAGACGGTCGAGATCTCCTATTGCATCCTGAAATGTCCGTCAGTGCTCGTTGCTAAGGCGATCGGTCAGGGTCAGAGACACCTCATTGGTCCATGCGTATGCATCAATTGTTGTGAGGAAATAGTGGACTGTATTTGACCAACAGGACCGAGAACTGACCAGATTCAGTCACGTAGGCCCTACGTACTTCACGTACGCCAAACCGCGCGCCACTGTACGTACGTTCGTCGGAATCCGTCAGTGCCATTTTCACCTGTAAAGCCTGCCATGGCCACACAAACAGACATACGGCACATCATGGAGGAAAAGGTAAGTGCACGCCAGGATTATCTACAAATCTTATATTATCCGCACAAATGAATACATGGAAATGTTTTATGCACTTGAACTAAACGAAATGTCAACTGAATAGATTTTGAAAACTGGCAGATGTTTCAAATAGTCAGTTTTTTAAATTGTAACTGCTTTTTAGTGTGGGGGTGGTATATGTGTCTAATTACCTGGATGTCAAACCTTCATCAACGTAATTACGTAAACGGATGGTCCGTTAGAAAATGAAACAGCGAAAAGCTGATGGCGGCGAAAGGCGGTGACGTACGATACACATACATCGTTTGTAATTATATGTCTGCGAACAAACTTTTCACTCTAAACCCTCCTCCGATATTCTCGGGTAACTCAAGCACTGTAAGAGGTTTTTTTTTATATTCGATTCAAAATGTGAAAACCTCTGCTTCCTCTTAAATGGTAGTTTATTTCCGGGTATTGCTTTATTTTCCGCTGTGTTCAAGACTACGTCAAGTTCACTGATGACTGGGTATTACCATCTTTTCAAAGGTTTTCACGAAAAAAAAGAACACTATAAAGTAGGGAAGGGGCTGGAATGTCCCCTGTATATATAGTGCAGAGACAGGTTTGTATCGTGGCAACCAGACATTAAGGAGCACACCTCTCCAAAAAGGCCGTGTACCGCAGAGTAGTTGGAAGGACGTGACAGTAGTCCCCGTTCCAAAATCCCACCCACCGACAATTGACAAATTGTGGGTGGCTATATCACTGACTTCACAACTTGCAAAAGTGGTAGAATTCTTGTCTCGAAAGTGTTGATCGCCAACACCTTTGGACCCTAAGAAGTTCGGGTGCTTAAAGGGAAAATCCACGGCACACTATATAGCTACCTGGTGAACCTTGTCAATTTTCCGTTCTGAGAGACCACAAGAGAGCACACTGGCATTCACAGACTTTCGAAGGCGTTTGATTGCATTAATCATACAAACCAAACCTAATCAATATTGGGGCAAGGAGTACACTTGATTTTGAGACTTTGTGTCATCAACGCCAGAGGGTTCACTATGGGGTCCAACTGTCCTATTGGGGAAACTCAGTCAGAAATTCTCAGTCCCACAAGGCACACTTTTGGGTCCACTAATCTTCCTGGTCTTGTTTGATGACGCCGTGGTAACTGCAGCTGCAGAGCGATCGAAATACGTTGATGATTTATCCTTGGCCGCGTCACGGAGAATTATAATTAGTACATCAATGCAAATGGAGTTAGACTGCTTCAATGACTAGTTAAAAGATTATCACATGCTGATTAACCCAGACAAATGTAAAACCCTGGTAGTTTGTTTCATGAAGTCCCCCCCCCCCCCGCCTTCTCATCAACCAAACTGGACGCGGTGTGCGTCATATATGCCTCTTGATGGTTTCGATCCAAATTAACTTGAAATAGGACAAGCAAGTATACTCTCCAAGCAGAAGTTTGGGTACTGGGTTATTTTTGGCGTGCTGTTAGACTTTTTATCGGGTTTTTCTTTTTTGTACTGGAATTTTTGTTTTAGAAATTCCAGTGCAAAAAGAAACCCTGATGAAAATGTCTCAAAACACGCCAAAAATAACCCAAAACCCAAACCTCTGCTTGCAGAGTAAAGCAAGTAAACATGATGATTGGTAAAGGAAATGACAATGACAATAGCAGGGACTCCAACTGAAATCGCTTTGTGTACTTGTGTACCGTTGATGTAAGTTGTTGATACACTTTACCACCCGAGATGTCGTCTTTCCTTTCGTTCAATGCTTGCTTTGACTGGGGCCTTTGTTTACGTCCATACATCTTAGCCTACCCACGCCCACGCAAACGTCACGGAGGTTTGCGCCCTATTGAGTCGTGCAATTGATCTTGAACCAGCTAAACTCAATAACCTCATTGAACAGTTGAGGCCATTTGCAATTACAGTCTTGTCATTACAGAGAAGACAGACAGTTATCTGATGTGGTGTGCACTTAACCGGTCCCAGACCAACATCCGAATACTATGACAATGAAGCAGATGTTGTGAAGGAAAAAAGTGGACTGCTTAGAAAACATTTGGTAATTTTCGTGAGAGCTGCATGGGGCGCCTCTATGAGACGGTTTCCAATTGCACCCTAAAATGACCGACAGTGCTTGTTGCTAAGAAGGTCGGTCAAGGGCTAAAGATGCCCCATGGTTTCATGCCTATGAATCAATTGTTGTATGAAAATAATGAACTGTGTTTGACCGACAACTGACCAGATCCAGTTACATGGGCCCTACGCGCGCCACTGCACGTACGTTCGTCGAATCAGCGCCAATTTATATATTTCCCCTGTTAAAGTATGCCACTAATGACGACGCCCCATTGTTTCTTGCATATGCATCAAATTACGGAATATATTTACGGAATTTTGCAGCTGCTTTGTACGGTCACATACGCGCGAGCGGATGTTATCCATTTGGTCAAATCAACATGGCCTAAAGACAAGAGCAAGTATGTCTACATGTATACCTCCTCTGAAAACCTGCTATAAAGATGTACTTAATGTCGCCGATCGTGATATATCTAGCAGCAAAGACTGATTTCGACCTTTTTTGCTTTCCGGGCTAGGCCTTGAAGTATCTAGAGTACTATGGCTACCTGAGAAGGAGAGTGGGCAAAAGACCGGAAGCGGAAATGAGGCAAGCCATCGCGACGTTTCAGAAGGTTGTCGATCTGAAAGTCACTGGTACGTTTATAACTTCATAATCCACACAAAAAGCCATAAATTCACATATAGCTAAAAGATAAAGGAGAAACAAGTCGCCAAACAATATGGCACGCCCTTCTAGCTATAGTACTACTGAACAGCATTTATAAGCTTCCTGCTGCTGTAGAACTCTTTATATTAAAAAAAATACTATATGTTCTTTACGACCTTTGGTCTACTCTTTTCTTTTAATGGGTACAATATGATTCTCTTCAATTCTTAACATCGTACAATTATGGCCCACTGCAGGCGCACTGGAAGACGACATTTTGCGGAAGGTGAAGGAGCCGCGGTGCCTCCGGTCTAACCCCTTCGCCGCCATGACGGAGGATAGTGCACCCCCCGTCAGGTGGGGGAGGCAGGAACTGACGTACAGAATCGTCAATTACACCCGCGACCTGACCAAGGAAGAGGTGGACGACGCCGTCAAGAGGGCGTTAAAGGTATGGCGGAAGGGAGGGAGAGAGAGAAGGAGAGAAAGAAGGAAGGGAAAGAAGGGAATAAGTGAGGAAAGAAGGAGGAGGGAGATTGTACGAATAAATGAACGAATCACACAATGATTTTAAAAATGCCAACTAATGAATAAAGGCAGACAGGAAGGAATCGACAAGTAAATAAATGAGTGAGATAGTGAGATAGTGAGTGAGTGAGTGAGTGAGTGAGTGAGTGAGTGAGTGAGTGAGTGAGTGAGTGAGTGAGTGAGTGAGTGAGTGAGTGAGTGAGTGAGCTATTCACTAGTAAACTAGAAAACAGTAGTAAGCTGGTGCAATGGTACAAAGACAAATGTTATTCCATGATGCACGTTTTAGATTGTAGTGAAATAGCAGTGATGTTCACACTATCAAACGAATGTGACCTCCACGTTTTTCAGGTGTGGTCTGACGTCACGCCCCTGGAGTTCGTGGAAACCTCGAAGAAGTCCGACATTGAGATGTCGTTCAAGGAGCACCCCATGGCCCCCCTGGACGGGCCGGGCGGGACCCTGGCGTACGCCTTCTTCCCCGGGCCGGGCATCGGCGGGGATGTGCACTTCGACCCGAGCGAGGATTGGACCGTTCACTCTTTCACGGGTATCATTTTCTGCAACTAAGTATCATAAGCTATGTCTGTTTTCATACACTTAACAGATGAAGCGATAGGGAGTTGAATATATATACATAACCTAGAATTGCTTTATCAACATAACCTGTTGCTTATAGAACGAGCAGAAAATCATATTGCCTTCCTGAGTCTGGCATAAACCTTAGGCCTGTTACAACCTTATCATGGGCGACTGCATTGACCAAGCTCCACCAAGCCTAAAGCTTAGCTTTCCGATAAGTTTGCTACATTTCAATTATTTGATACCTTGCTCCCCCTTTTCCCGGTAGGCACAAACTTGTTCATCGTCGCGGCGCACGAGTTCGGGCACAGCCTGGGGCTGGACCATTCCGACGTGCAGGGTGCCCTCATGTACCCTTACTACCAGGGGTACACGTCTGACTTCAAACTGCACCAGGACGACATCAACAGGATCCAGGCATTGTACGGCCCCCCTATTGATCTCCCTTTCCAGCAGCCGTCGGTGCTGCAGTCAACGATGCAGTCGTCGCCGTGGCAGCAGTAATCATTGGTGAGAGCATCCGAAACAATAGTGAACAGCCTTTTTATTGGCATATCTTGCTAATTGCTGGCATTTTGCAGCTGGGGGGTTTACTTTCTTTTATTTCCTTGAAACAAATGGCCTTTGGGATTGTTTTTGATGATGGGTAGAGCTCTAGAAGTGATGCTATGTTGCCGTGTTTGTGTTCTGGGAGGTCAAAGGTCATTGAGGCCATTATACGACGAACTTCTGCCGATACAAAAATTAGACTTTTTGACTAAATGGACAATTTTGGCTAAGCTACTCGTACCTTGTTAATGTGACTTTTCAATAGTTAAACACCCAAGTATGTGATTTTTGACAGCTCATTTCTTAGTGTTTATCATATAACGTTATTTCAATTGGAGCTCGACATGATGGGCTGTGCCCCTGAGTAGCCGAATTTGTGGTAAAACGGCGTCATGGAAGACAAAAGCCACATTGTTAAAGTCCCGTAAAAGTCCCGTAAACAAGATAGACACAAATTACATATAATGTGGCCTGTTTTAACACTTTGATACATTCGTGAAGGTTAGACATCCGGGTAAACGATGCTTATAAAAGGCAAATTAACCTCCTGTTGTGAATCATCTGCTACTTGACCAATTTGCATCATCCTTGTGTTGTCCTTTTGGACTTTCAAAACATTTGTCTTCTCTTTATTTGCATATCAATTAATAGTTCGTACTTATAAACCTACTTTTCTGACAACTCTCAAGTGTCACTGACGAAAGGTGGTGGATGCTATCTGAAACATCTGACCCTTTCCAAAATCATATCCGGTTGCTTGAATTACTGTGTTTTGGCGTATCTTATTACCTGGATGTCTAACCTTCACCGACGCGACAAATTAACCACCCCGACAACTGGATAAAGAAAAGGTATATTACTTCTGGATGTTTCGTGTGCCATTGATCACTATTGTGTGCCATTGATACTATATACATGTATTGTGTGCCATTGATTACTATTGTGTGCCGTTTGTTTACTATCGTATACCGTTGATCACAATTGTGTGCATTGATCACTATTGTGTGTCAATGATCACAATCGCTTGCTATTGATCACAATTGTATGCCATTGTCACTATTGTGTGCCATTGATCACAATTGTGTCCCTCTGTCACTATTGTGTGTCATTGATCACAATAGTGTGCCAATGATCACAATCGTGTGTCATTGATCACAATTGTGTGCCATTGTCACTATTGTGTGCCATTTGTTTATTATCGTGTACCATTGATCACTATTGTGTACCATTGATCACTATTGCGTACCATTGATCACTATTATGTGCCATTGATCACTATTGTGTGCCATTGATTACAATTGTGTGCCATTGATTACTATTGTGTGCCATTGATCACAATTGTGTGCCATTGATAACAATTGTGTGCCATTGATCACTATTGTGTGCCATTGATCACTATTGTGTGCCATTGATCACTATTGTGTGCCATTGATTACAATTGTGTGCCATTGATCACTATTGTGTGCCATTGATTACAATTGTGTGCCATTGATCACTATTGTGTGCCATTGATTACAATTGTGTGCCATTGATCACAATTGTGTGCCATTGATCACTATTGTGTGCCATTGATTATTATCGTGTACCGTTGATTACGATTGTGTGCCATTGATCACTATTGTGTTCCATTGATCACAATTCTGAGCCATTGATAACAATTGTGTGCCCTTGATCACAATCGTTTACTATTGATCACAATTGTGTGCCATTGATCACAATTGTGTGCCCTTGATCACAATCGTTTACTATTGATCACAATTGTGTGCCATTGTCATTATTGTGTGCCATTTGTTTATTATCGTGTACTGTTGATCACAATTGGGTCCCATTGTCACTATTCTGAGCCATTGATCCCTATTGTGCGCCATTGACCACAATTGTGTGGCATTGATCACTACTGTGTGCCAAACGTGATTTAAAAAAAGTTCCGTAAACGAGATGAACTACTCGTATATGCCATCCTGTTTTAAAAGGGTCGTCTGCACTTAGATACGTTAGACATTCGGTTAAACGATATTACAAAAGACAAATCAATCATCCCTACTACTGGATATAAGAAAAGGGATATTACTTTTGGGCGTTTTGAGTGTCATTGATTACTCTTGTGTGCTGTTATTTAATAAAGTCTAAAAACGAAATCATCATATGTTGTCATTGCTTTCACAGAGTGCTGTGTGCCGTGAAGTACGTATACATTCGAGGTCCCCGTGATCTTTTTAATAATAATGGTTTATTTCAAATGCAATATTGCAAAAAAACAGATGCCACCTGGCAGCCGAAGCTGAATTATGTGCAACTGTTCACAATGTATCCGAGATAACCTTAGTAAAAGATATTAAGTCTAAAATGACGGATAGGTGGCAAATTGGATTAAAAACAACCGGTATTGTATAGTATTATTACATAAAAGCATTAAAATGGAGGGCGGGTAGGAGGCGTAAAAAGTAGATTTGAATATGTACATAATATATAACGTATTTTGATATATAACATACAAGGCGTGCGTTAAGGTAAATGGCAGCACACGGTCATACACAGGACAAGTGGGACTTGTCCTCTGAATTCCATGGTCAATCGTTACATGTCCAGGGTGGATTCAATAAGACTGAGTCAAAACTTAAGAAAAAAACACTGATGTGTAGGAAAGTCACGCACAACGTGAAATCCGGATAGCGGAGTTCGTTTTTCAGAAGCAAGCGCAGCTGAAACACACCTATAAAAAACGCCGGCGAAATGCCTCAATATAGCTATGGTACTTCCGTTGAATAAAGTGCTTTTACTGTTTTTAGGTTACCAAGCCTTAAGGTATATATTTTTTTTAGTAACAGATATTAGTAATTAGGTTTCTGTCTACTTGGTCATTATTAACAATGAATGGTGTTCTTGCATCATTGGTCATTGTTAACAACAAAGGATATTATATTCTTGCATTACTGCTTCAAAAGGGAAGCGTAGGGCTGTGAAGAAAGAAAAAACTTAATCAAAACACAAATTCTGAAAAACGCACGCTATCTTTAGATTCTACTTGTTCTATTTTGACATTTCTCTGTCCTTATCAGCTATCTTCTACAGGGAAGAAACATTTTCAACCCCCGGTAGTGCCCCCATGAGAAAAAAAAATGTTTTCCCTTGCGAGATGAGTCTACGAAGGTCATATGATGTTTAACGTTATACGTGCAGTAAAGGTTATATGGCATACCCACCTGATAGTCTTGCGACATCCTTTGCAGGCTTGCCTTCAGGTCAGGAAACGTTGGCCTTTCCTCGGGGAGGGCCATCCAGCAACTGGTCATCAGTTTGTAGCTTTGGGATCAGATAAATAGAAATACTATCAGTTTTTTTATCTTTGTACGAATGAGGCTTAAGATTATATGAAATACGCATTGTTCTTCCATATTGCTTTCAAGATTTTGTTGTTTTTTAATAGAAGAGAATGGGATATACAGGACATCGCAAAGTTACGATATTAGATCAGATTCTTATCTGACTTCATTCCAATACTCTTGCAGTAGCGTACGAGGGGAAAATGACTACTAGTAACCTGCCACTGGGTTGCTTTTTTGTTTACTTACATTTCACCAGGGCAGCCTCTCGGGTTCTCCAGTCTGCCACCCTTTTCTATCATGTCCATCATCTCTTTGCCGCTAATTCCTTCGTAAGGACGTTTGCCTACAACATATTTTCATAAAGTATGTCAATACCTAAATAGATAGATAGATAGATAGATAGATAGATAGATAGATAGATAGATTTGATTTAAATTTACTGTGACGTAATTATAACTTAAATATGTATATTATACATATTAAATGATAGTAATCAAATTTTCCATTGCAGTATCATATTAAGAGATACATGTATCAAAAATACAACATTAGTAATGAGTTGGAAAAGACCAATGGTCACGTACCCATCGCCATGATCTCCCACAGGAGAACGCCAAAGGACCACCTGAATCAAAATGTAAAATATGAAATATTAGCTTGAATGTAAGAAAATATAGCACGAAAGGAGATGCCATAAGGAGACTGCGGATAAGGTTCATCTTGACAGGGAAAACTACAGTATATCAATAATGAGTCTAGAGACAGCTACTCACACATCACTCTGCGTTGTGTATACGTTGTAGAAGAGAGACTCATATGCCATCCACCGCAACGGCAGCCGTCCCTGAAGTAGTAAAATTATTCTTAGTTCGAAAATAAGAAGGTTACATGAAGACCAGGACAGTTTGGTCATAGCTGATCGAACGTGTAGAGGAACACTCACAGACAAATACATGTAGAATAGAATACAGCAAGCCATATAATATTGCAAAAGGTTGTTTCTCAAGTACTTTTAAATCATGGCAAAAAAAAAAACGGAAGTGTACTTGTAGTGAAAGTGAATATGCTAAGTCGTTTTGTGATAATATAATAGCCCCATAACTCGTACACCCATTATTGAAATGGTGGCAAGTATATCTGTAGTACCTTTGTGCTTCTGTTGTATTCGTTGTCCTCGAAGATGTCACGAGAGAGCCCAAAATCTGAGACCTTCGCTACCAGGTTTTCTCCAAGAAGAATGTTCCTGGCTGCCAAATCACGGTGAATGCACTGCGAGCAGACAGAAACATTATGCTGGTATATGAACGAGTATATATGTAATGGAAGTGCGCCTATGGGCGATGTCCTTGGTGCTGAAAAACAGGTTTAGTGCCGTATCCACACAGGAAACATGGAACTACTTCGCGCCTCTGTGCAGCAAAGTTCACATGAGCCCCTTGCAATTCCAAATTAATTCCAATCACTGGTGTCTATTTTAGCTTTCACCTGCATCATTGTAAATTAAAAGTAACAACATTTACTGACATGTCATGGGGGTAATAAATAATGATAATGGCAATGATAGTAATGAAAAACGGTAACGAACGGAAACCAACAGATGATGTTAACTTGAATGGTACAAATTGATAGCTGACAATTCTTCAATAAATACCTGCATCGCCGCCAGATGGCTCATACCACTGGCCACGTCGATACCGAACTGGATGAGCTGTTCCATCGGAAGCTGGGGACCAGATTTAGAAGCTGCTTGGTTCCGGTACACTGACTCGGCATTGGGACCGGCCTTCAGCCAGCCTTTCAGGCATCCATTTGGAGCGTACTCCACCACAATACACAGTGGACCTGTGGGTATAGACATCACGTTATTTTTTAATTAAGACAACAACTACAGGATTTAAAAACATCATCTTACCCAATTTACACAATTACAAACATGAGTAGTGTTAGAGTTACGTATACACATGTACAACATCAGGTCAACAGGTACTGTCATAACAAATTGACATCACGTTATGCATCATATTGTCAAAGCACCGCTTCTGTCTGATTCGGTGAATCGAAAGAAAGCACTATCGATACTTATCCAATCCACACATGGATTTCCGTTTAGATTCAGATTTCACTTACTTCTCTACACTACAAAAAAACACAAAACTTTCAACTAACCGTCTACAGTACATGCCCCAACCAGGGAGATGAGGTTGTCGTGTCGGCCAACAGTGACCATGATCTCCAACTCTCCCAACAGCCCTCTCTGGTCAAAGTCGGATGCAGAGTCTGTACAAAATGAAACAATTCTAGTTAATACGTATTCGAATATGAAGTAAGGCTACACTCCAGTTTGAATACTAGTACGAAAACTGCAAAATATGTATGTGAATCCAACCCTTATTTCATTGGAATTGGCATGCTAAACTAATAATAATTTGAATTTGTATTATCTCATTTTTATTGAAACAATATCTATGCATGTCACATTTACTTTATGTATTGAACCGCATTGTTAGCAGTAACACCTAGCTTCGGTGCACAGTGAAACAGTAACATCTAGCTGTGCTGCATATGGTAATCCAGTCACAATTGCCTTGATGAAGACAACAAGCGGTGTTCGAAACGTCAGCTCTTGTTACACAACTGGGTGTGAATAAACAAGAGGATGTAACTTTGCTAGTTAATAGTAATGAAGAACTACATCTAGTACACTTTAACATCACCTTGACCTTTTAAGGTCTTCACTGCCACAGTTGTTGTCAGGCCTCGCTGGCGGAGTTCTCCCAGCCGCACCTGTCCAAAATTCCCACTGCCGAGGCGCCTGCCCAGCTTCAGACTGGCCCTCGGGATCTCCCAGAAATTCAGAGCCATCACTTGCGTCTTCTGGGGTTCCTTTATGCAATAAACAATGTTGGTAATGACAGACCATCATAACTTCGGTGTAAAATATGTATATGGAAAACGTTTGGGAGGCAGTCCTTAAGCGAATAATTCATTATCGGCTTTAAGAGAACATCAACCTTCCAGGAAACCACCACTTAAGAAAACCTACCTCTTGATTTCGAAGTTCCGCAAGAATTCCCCTGAACCTTGCTCTCGGTCCAGCGTGCGGAATAAGCTCATTCAACGTGAAATCGTCAAGGTACCTCAAGGAATTGCCATCAACACGCTGATCTATTGGTCATTGTAAAAAAACAACAGTTGTGCCCAATTGAAAGGTATGTCAATATACATATCTCATATACCTCAAAAAGAAAACATTCGAATGTTCTTTTTCGAACTTGATAGAGTAAATACGCACCTCTAAATGCTTTGGAATACCCTTCAAGGTCGCAAGCTCTCAGCCAGTCTGTCACGTCGGCCACGGTCTGAATTTCTGAAAGCCTGCGGTAACTCTAAAACGCATTGTGAATAGAGTCTTGATGGCTCATACAAGACAGCCGATGGAAAAAAATGCAAAGTAGGAGCACCGAAAGTTATGTGGGAATTAAGATGTATGGCTAAAAATGTAATATTTGTAAAGCAAACACATAATGTTTACCTTCACATGGTCTGGCCGTTGTACCTTCATTGGTATGTCACTCATGGCGTATGCCTCGTTGCTATGACCTTCGACTTCTGGCGTATGGCGAGCGATGTCGTCCAGAGGAAGAGCTGTCCTGTCCGGCCTGGCTTCCGATGCATTTGGCCATTTTTTCCTGGCGAAATGAAGTTATATTCAAAACTAAACCTTCCTACATAAATAACTAAATATATTTTAATAATAGATTTTCAATGCGTTTCTATGTGGACACATTCACGTAATCATCAATACACAAGATTTTTATTGCAATGAAGTACATCTGTATTTACAATTAGTAGTGAATGTCAATGGATCTAATTTATGAGGAAATAATGATATTTGGTTGGCGAAGTGTGATGAAAACATCTACGTATATTAAACGTTTCACAAGTTAAATGCAGATTGACAATGATACACATACTGTAAAAGAACGATCACTTTCCATGACACGTACCTGTAAAACATAAGTGCGGCTGCGATGGCAAAAATCAGGACACCCGCTGCAACCGCTCCACCAATGACAGCCGCCAACGGAAACGCTGTTGGTTTTGTTTGAACTAGAAATAGACGAAAATTGTTTGTCTTGATGCAGACCAAATGTGTATACTATATGTAAATAAACAGGTTATTTTGTACTGATAACTAACCTTAGGGCTGGCAATGCATAATAGATACTAACACTAAGAAGCGTTACCCGGGTGGACAATATTGACATGCTATAAACATGGCTTTTATACAAAGTACCAGTGAGGATTTGTCGACTTGTTTTAATTTTTCTATTTCTATTGGTCGTTGGGTTTATTATAATTAGTACTTACCATACACTTCTGCAGCTGCCGTCCTTGCATGCAGGCAGTCGGTGAAGTTGCCTGCACCGGCGCTTGTAAAACCCCGTACTCTGAAGGTGTACATGGTGTTCGGGAGGAGGCCAGGAAATGTCAGGGACGTGTTGCTGCCTTGGGTGGTCACCTCGTGAAGCAGCTCACTGTCAGAGCAGTTCATGGTTGGGCCGTACCGGATGGAGTAGTGAGTGATGACTCCGTTTGGTACAGCAGGCCGCTGCCACGTGATGCTGATGGAGTGACTGGAAATTGAAGATGTTTGTAGCCTTGAAGGAGGCCCTGGAGCTGATGAATGTAAAGATAAGGAAAAGACTTATCACAAGATGAACACAAACGTGTTTGGATGTACAGATCATTCTGAAGATATTGAAGATTCTGAAGATACTAGTACTGAAGATACATCATGAACAGTGCAGTTTGGATATACGTCTGTCTCATGGCTTATCTACAGTCAATTTAGTAGAAAAAAGATCAAGCATGCCTTTGAAGATCGTAACTTGGCGATTTCCTCATACTTACGTGCATCTCTGGTTCTCCAAGTAAACTGCACAGAGCGGCTCCAACCTTCAGAATTCTGTGCCCTTACTTGCCCAATGTAGTCCGTAGCCGGTGTCAGTCCGGTGATGTTGACGGTCCCCCGTGTGCCTGCGAATCCAACAGAAGTCCAGTTGCCCCAAAACGACTCGCCCTTCCTCCTGGACCTCACATGTATGGCAGTAACGGGCTGGTTCCCGGTGAAGCCCACGTCAGCTGTAGCGTAGAGCGTTGTCGAGCGTTGTGAAGCCACAGTCACGTTTATTTCTCCGGGCCGTTCTGAAATGGAGCCAACAAATACATACATATGACTGATGCCGTCTCCGGCGATGTCCATTCGGGAGGGCTTGTAATTTGCTGAAAAGGAACAAAAAAACGTTTATATCATTACACATAATTGAGTCATATTATGTACATTATGCGTTTTGTTACCTAGAACGATCAGCGTTGCAGGCGATGATGTATCCGTTTGAAGAGAGTTTGCCGCTGTGCATGTGTACTCTCCGTTGTCTGCTCTCTGTACGCTGTTAAAAGTCAGTGTACTGGTAAATGTGTGCTGAGCTTGGCTTTGTATCGTTGTGACTGCTCCGGTTGGAATTGTGCGTCGGCCGCCGTGTCTCCAAGTAACGTTAGGCATGGGTTCACCTCGGCCCGCACAGGTGAACATTGCTGATTGGCTTAGGGACTGAGTAATGTTCTCTGGGTCGTTGGTGACCTCAGCTGGCACTGAAAACACAAAAGGTATAGATCGTTACACAGCATAGCATATAAACTACAAAACTAAGCTATATACTACCAAATACCGCCAGCTGGTGGTATAACTCATCCAGAATTCGGAGAAATACATCGAAAACATCTTCAGGAAATGTTTTTCATCGACGACATAAACCTTCTATTATTACTAAATGTATTTCAATGGTACTCCTGAACCATTAAGCTACCTACTTTCCTGGCAGAGTTGTCCTGTCCAAGGAGAAAGACATGCAGGGCATATTCCAGAGACTGTATTACACGCAGAGCCTCCGGCACAATGTCCGCAAACTGCGAAAGATAATGTTCAATATATGGCATGAGCAAATTCGGACTACGTATTTTACAAAATACAGACAAGTTCGGAAGCAAATGTACGTCAGAGAAGGGCAAAAAGTCCCAATCTATTTACACCATCGTTGTATTCATTGGCTTTAAAATGGAATCAAAATCATTTTAGGCAATATTATAAGTCAACCAACGTCAAATGTTTTTAACGTTTGCGCTAGCTACAGCACTTTTGGTAGCTTTGATAATTTGACAGTTGCTGAGATCTACAATCCTACGACGGCAGGCAGTCGCCATCAGCTACATAAATATTGGGCATACCTAACCTGAACATGACGTTCCATTGCCGTAGTAACCGTCCACACAGGCGCATGTGAAGGAGCCTGGAGTGTTCGTACACGTTGCGTGTAGGTCACAGTTGTCCGCGTGCATAACGCACTCGTTCAAATCTAAAAAAATGGATGAATTGATTGTTGTCATTGCATTGGGACAGCTTGCAAAATCGGACTTTGAGAGTTTGACATGTTACGTGAATTTGTTACTAGAATAGAACTTACCCGTGCATTGGACCCCATTACCAGTAAACCCTGTGTTACAGGTACAGGTGAAGGTGCCGTTACATGTAGCGTGGGCTGGACAGTTGTTCCCATTGATAAATGCACATTCGTTGGCATCTGCATGCATATATTAGATCATGTGAATATGATGACAATACAAATAAACCAACCACAAACATGGCAAACGGGAGCTTCAATAATCAATAATCAATTTGATTACAAGAATAACATCCCACTAAAGAAGGACAAAATTGTAATTGTGGTTTCCACAGACCACCGTCATGAAGATCATCTGAACAAAAGCCTTACAAGAATAGGTGAGATTGAATCCTGTAAGTGTTACACTCCCATCACTGGTGAAGACGAGTTGAACTGCATTTGTGCTGCTAATGTAGGTTGGTGGGAGGCTAGATCCTGTGTACCTGTATGTAGGAGGAGAGGATACCTTTGTTACTGAGTTGGCTTGTGCAATTCATATGGTGTGCTGCCACTATGAGGTATTGGTAATTACCCATTCAGGGCCTGTGGTTCAGACCCATGTTATCTGCAACAAAAAGAAACACAGCCACTGTATAAAGTAGATTATATTAGAAGTGTTTGCACTGTTGGATAAATGTTAGAAATAGCTACTGTTTTGGATGTTCATGTTGCCGGCCATATATTGTACCTAGTTCTTGTTCTCATTCTCACTTAGTTAGTCTTGTACTAAAAGCTTTCGGGAGGACGGCAGGTTTTGGCTTGAGCAGATGCACACATTCATACTAGCAATCACCTTTGAATTTCGGATCCGTCTTCAAAGATCCTCAGGTTGTCATATCTAGACTCCAGATTAAATTCCTGAAAGTCTAGTCTGACAAAGTTTCCACTGGGGGCTCTGATGGTGTACACACAGTACTCATTGTTGCCATAACTTCCAGGATACCCAGGGCTGGTGATGATTCCTGATGCATCCACAAATATACCCCCGCAAGAAGCTGAAAGTAAAATGAGTACAAAGGATTTGTTGTAAAATTCATCTAAGCAAATAGCGTAATTGCCAATGTGTATAACTCTCGACTCGAGTTGAACGATTCAGATGCCTTGTAAGTCATATCTGTCAGAAGAATATATTAAACAACTAAAGGAGTGTGCCGCTGCTCATGAGCATGCCAAAAATCTTAGCGATTACCAAGGATTACTAAGTTTCTAAAACGGATTTCCTCATTTCAGGACGGATCATAATTACCTTGAATGGCAAGGCCACATTCGTACCACCGTCCATACCAGATATTTCCGTTGACTGAACCGTCTCCAATCGCTCCGTAGTTGAACTGATCTCCGCGAAGACGTCGCCAAAAGCCTGTAACAGAGACATCTAATTACACGTCGGTGCTAATTATAAGCTACAAAAGGAAATGTCATGTCTTGACGAATTTAAGGATCCTACATTATGCGTCTGTCTATGCAAAACATTTACAATGGACCATTTGCGTAATAGGAATTGTCACGTTGAAAATATATAGACTATAGGCTTACCTACACCAAAAAGCAGTTACTCAAGCAACTGGATATGATATGAATCCTGTTGCTTGAGTAACTGCTTTTTGGTGTATCTTATTACCTGGATGTCTAGCTAACCGTCACCGACGTATAGGCTCACCTGTTCCACTGCAGGACCGGTAGTCACTATCTAGGGCCGATGAAGGAGGATCGACTAAAGCACCAACCAGCTCACAGTGGTCTTGTCCGTGCCCGCCGCGGTCACCAATATTGCGGAACGTTCCCGACAGACTGTCACTCATCAGGATTTTGTACCGAGTAAATGAACAGAGTATGACTCCAACATACAAAGGCCGACCTCCGTAGCTGTACTGACTTCGTTTGACATACTTCGCCCCGTGGCAGCTGTTGCAACTGTTGTCGACGTTGAAATCGTATGGCGTAAAATAGTCATCTGTGCCGAAAGAAGTTGTAGGTTTAATTTAGTACATGTAAACTTTTTCACGAAGCTCTAGTAAAGTTTTTTTAACAGGATGACTCAATAAGGGATGTATGGACTTTCATGGTCATTGGAATGTAAACAAGAAGCCATAGGCGACAATTCTCCGTGAAGTTTTATATATTTCAACAAAATCCCAAGCGTCAACGCCAGACCTACTGTGCAGACATTATAATTAGGCAACGGTTAATACCACGCTCGTCCCCAGCGCCCGTGGAGAAGCCATAGGTTATAGATCGTGGCTTAGCCCAGGCTATGGAAAATAAACTTTCTTTAATGCAAATCTGTCGTTTTTGTTTTCTTTGCGCTATCTAAAGGGTTAGGATAACCTACTCTACTCTGGCGGTATTGTCGTGCGCGCTCGCTAGTACGTAACGTTACACGGCGGCCATCTGAATACATGTACACTGCATTCTTTCTACTATCGGGACCTAAAACAAGACGCAAGATTCCTATTTTGGGGTATAAAATGCTGTCACAATGGTAATATATACCAAATGAAACGGACCTTTACAAAGTACCTCATTTGGTGACGCTATGAGGGTGTACCGTTATCCCTCTACATTTGCCCAGAAGGGAGTTAGTCGCGGAAGGAACTTAGCCACGGAGGGAGTTTTGGCATTCTCCGCCCGCGCCACAAACTCTCGTCCCCAGGACAGTTCACTCTGCTACCCAGCATGCTTTGCGCAAAATGCGTTCTCGGCCCCAGGACACAAATACACGCTAATGCTTCCGCACTGTGTTGCTCTGGGGACCCCGCCGCGCGCCCAGATGTGGATTTAATTATAGCGCGCTAGCGGACGCTGCGGAGGAGCGTGGGTTAATACAATGAGGGCGCGTCACAAGCATAAAACATACAAAGAGCTAAATCCATTACTGCTCCCAGGGCGTGTAAAGATACTGTGCTTCAAGTTCTAACTTCATTTTAATTACACACACACAATCATTGCATTCACATAAAGATCGGACTATCATGGTCGTGTCTAGTAACAAAGACAGCCCCACCGTCTTACGGTGCCTGTACCTAATTAAGCGCGCCTGGAACAAGCCAAATTCCAGCAACAGTGGCGGTAAGCACCGCGAGTGTTACTACCGCCGGCCAGATAACCAGGATATCTGCTTACAGTACCTCTGCTACCAGACAACTGCCTAAACCTACGGTCTATTCCACAGGATTGTAAAAGTAGGGATGTTTCGAAAATAACCATTTACTCCAATATCAAAACAGCTACGGTAAAAATAAAAAGACGTGCATCATCCCGGACATAATGCAACACCACATGCGAAATTACACAGATATGCGACGTACGGCAGAATGCGTTTTGGCTGCGAACATCTTCCAAAAAACTTGGCATCTCTTAACCATGGGCAAAAACATCTGGAACCACTTATAAAAACCACCCCGTATCTGCATGAACTTTTACCTCCCCCCCGCTATTCCAAACAACGCGTTTTTCTGGACCGTTCCAATTCGCCTCGTAATTGTAGGGGTGCGTCTGCGATATTACATTGACCGCGAAAGCAGCAACGGCAAAAATACACATTCGTGCATCAACACGGGCATGCCCGCAGACGGCGTATAAAATTGCGTGCCGATTACACGAAGAGAACCCAGTGTTTTGACTGCGAACATGAAAAATCAGCCGATTACAACACTCCGTCCGGAGGTCCTGACCTCCTTCACGGAGTAATAACATTATACCATACCCGGGCCGCGATAACGTTCGATAACGGGTTCCGGACCGGGCCGTACTTCACGGTACGGCCCGGTCCGGAGCCCGTTATCGAACGCTTCCATGGCTTCCATAAGACGATTCGAACGCGTTTCACCCTACCCGCGTGTGCCCCTTTCGAAAATTCGAATACAGAATCCGGACGTTGGAATTGATGTTGTTGCATTTTAGGGTTTAGTGGCACCAACTTTGGGCTCATCTTGCATTGAAAGGCGCGTTTTCTTTGGTGGGTATGGTATAAATAAAATACAACACGGTGTATTCCGCATCGCCCTCGGTCTCGGCCCTCCCGCGAGTCGGATCGCCCTCGGCCTGCGGCCTCGGGCGATCCGACTGGCGGTCGAGCCGATACCTCGGGCGATACGGAATACCCCGTGTTGTATTCTATATTTACCAAATTATGACCAAAGTACTCCCTATGTACTTTACTATCTAGAGTAAACTAAGTGACTAGAAACCACGACACGGAGAGCATGTACTAAGTAGAAACGCCAACATGAGTATTCCATATTTGTGGTATGTAAGTTCATTAATTGCGTCGTGTACCTGGCTAATGACAGAATACTTGTATGCCGAGGTTTGGAGTCGGTGAGTCAATTTCATTGCTTCGATTTTTCTTTCGCAGCTCGTCACGACCTAAAAAGAAAACACCCCCAGGCACGTACTCCAGACCAAAGCAGGGTACGTGTACGTAGTAGTCAAGGACAACAGCCACATGATTAACTAATGTCTGAAGATAGGGAAATGGGCTGTGCTTTACCCAATACGTGCCGACCAAAGGTTGGTCTAATGTAGCCAGACACTTGACTTTTGAGTTTTGAAGTTCGATTCTTTCATCTCGCCGATGATTGAAGTTATATGGTTGCCACGTAAATGCTAGTAACAGAGGCATGTGTCAATATTCTGCTTTCCGATTTTAACAGCAAGTAGTAAGGTATACGTAACATTTGCAAGCAAAGACATAGAATCTTCACGTGGTCTCAATACCTGCTGACTTGGTGGAATCAAACACCATCTATCCAGTAACTATGGTGACCTGTCCCTGGGGCCTGTTTGGTACACGGTAAAATTAAACACCACCAGTAACCAAGGTGACCACCAACACAGTGTCTCCTGCAGGTCATTGACCTGCTTTGTTTGGAATGTAAGAAGAGGAAGAAGAAGAGGAAGAAGTAACTGACCTAAAACAAATGGTTTTCCTTTTGCGAAGGTAAACATAATAACAGAAGTTCATAGTATCTAAGCCCAGATAAGATTCACTTGTAGTGTTGTACGTGACTGCTAATTTTGTTCAATCCTGGGACCAGTAACATATACTGTTCTCTGCTTAATGCTCCCGACTATTCGACAACCAAAACCATCGCATTCATCAAAATGAATGTCGCTTATAATCATTAAAAGCGACATTCATTTTGATGAATGCATTGGTTTTGGTTGAGCTTCTAAGTCGAATAGTCGGGAGCATAAAGCAGAGACGGCTACACTAACTTGATTTCTCAGTTCTTGGCGTTTTGTAGGAAATCAGTGAAACGGACAGACGACAAAAACAGACCCGGGGCTTCCTGCCCTAAATGCTACCAGTAAAAGCCACGAAGCCAACCTATACTAAACTGATTTATAATTCAAACGATGAACCTTTTAAACAAATTAATGCAAACACGAACATGTGGCGGTTAATCATGAGTCCGAACCTGAATGGTACTTGTGCATTTACTTTGTTTCTTGCAAATCAAAATAAAATGCAGAGGGCAAACCAGAGAACAAAGCTGCCAATACCTCGTGCGTTGTGCCATCACAATATTTGCTCAACAGTGCAAGACAATATTTGACCAAAAACAATGCTCCGACATGAACACGTATTCTAATTTATCTGTATCAAACTCGTGTATCTTAGGTCTGTATCTTTGCGTTGCTGATGTATTTATGTTCCTGGGCCAAGTGAGCCCCCCAAAAAGTTGTAAGTATGAAAAAAGTACGGTTGTTGATATCTACAAATGAGTAAACAAATAAACGTTACTTACCATTTACCACCGAGAAGGCAGAATCGAGGATCAAGAAGATTAGGAAGAGCTTCAGTGTCCCAAAAGAACACCGTCCTAAAGCTACGGCCTTAAACATGTTTCTACTGTCTAAGCCCAATTGGGAACATCAACTTCCTCTCTGAATTCTTGTGTCAACAACACTTGTGCTTTTTGCCCTTACTTCCTCCTCTAGTGCGCATGAACATATGACGGCAATGCACACATATCGAGGCTAGAAAACAAGTGTGAGCAGTTTAATCATTAAACCGCTGATGCCCATAAGGTCACCAGTTGCCAATGGGCCTTACTGAACTCTTTTACTCGTTCCCTCTTCTGTCTCGTACATATGTAAGGGTACAGACTCCTGGTAGAATCGGCGATTTCAAGGCTAGAAATCCCGATCGCAGTCTCTGCTGGTAAAAATGTATGATCCGCGATTCATGTTAAACATGAAACACATAAAACATATTCACGTTTTATGGCTTGCGTGGACTACAAAGCTGTTTCACAATGTTAAGTTAAAGCAATAAACCTCTTCCTCTAGTTTCTACCCTGACAAAAATATGTCTGGTGGGTGGTGGCACTAATATAATGCGTCTACTGTAACGTTTTCTCACATGACTAATAAAACAGCCTCACAACGTAATTGGGGATCAATTGTGGCTCTTTAATTGATTAAGTTTAAAGAAAAAGTCGATTCAAGCAAGTTTGTTTGCACAAAAGCAATGTTTACTTTGAATCTCATGACCTCGCACCCAGCAGTATCAGTACAAGTTGCTGTGTTGAGATGACAATGTACTAGTATCCAGGACTTTTCTTATGTTTACCATCACAGATGGAAGATATATTTCAGTGTTTGAGTAAGAATAAACAGAGCAGTAGTTTGTTAGGTTTGACCATGTGAGGATAAATGTTTAAAAACAATGTATTTGCTTTGCAAATGTTATTACTTGAATTCACTCTGAATTCCCCCTAAACAACAAACAAATACATAAACCGTCAGAGTGAAGGTAAAAATGAGTTACATAATATATATACACAAATGGGTAATTTGCATAGCTGTTAAGTTTGGATCACACTATCCTTTCTAGCGTGTTGTTGCTGAATGATATTCCTGTATCCATTTTTTGATGATGGCTGCCTCCTGAGCCCGGGCCTTTACCACAGAGGGTGGGTCAGCTGGGTCACTGGGTCGAAGGTCAAGGTGGTGGGCAGCGTCCTCCATCACTATGGCAACCAGGGAGTCAGACAATGACTTCAGAACACACCCAACTGACCAGGGGTCAAGGTCACCGTTACTGTGTGGGAACAGGAATAGTGACAGTTACCAAGCAATGTAAAGGAAAACTACAAACTCAGGTACCATTTGCAAAGCAAATGCATTATGTTCACCTTCACATGGTCTAGCCCAACAAACTATTGCTTTGTTATTCTTACTCAAACACATTCAAATATATGTTGACCAGCCCCTGCAACTCTGTCCAGCCACTTGCTACATGATGTAATCCAACACCACAGGGTTCTGTCTGTTTGAATATCTTTCAAAATTGTTAACGCGGTCATATCACCTACATGTATCATGCAGAAAGATACTTGCCAGAAACATTCAGCACCAAGGACAGCTACAGCATTGTTAGCATTATCATTCTAGCCACTGCTGTTTTACATGTATTTTTGTATGTATCTCTTTTGAGGGATGGCTGCAATGCTCTGATATAGATAGTCCCTTTCCAATTTCTTGTTTTGAAGATGACAGTTCAAACTTGCTTCATAATAGCTACAAACAAAGATGGTAGATAACATATGATAACTTTCAAGATATTCACCTGAAGATGATATTGCTGGCTGCGCTGATGTTCCGACCCCAGTACTCCGTCACGGCCCAGTACGGTCGCGGCCTGACCTTCCACCTCTCGTAGCAAGCCTGGGAGAATGCGGCCAGGTCCCACGGGATGGGTGGGAACATGTCGTTCACGCCGTCAGAGCATATAGGTTCAATCTGCTCTGTACAGGCCTGGTGGGAGAAAACACATCCGATTCAATAAAGATATGACAGTTATTGATTATCAAGATTTACCATAAGTTGTGGAAGGATATATAATTTGATTGACATAACAGGTGACTATCACCTTTTCAAGATCACCTAAGACTAAAATGTAAGGTTTGTACCGCTTGCATCAGGAAAGACCCTACTCTTTGAATAAGGTATGAACCCAGAACCTTCAGCTTCCGAGTCAGTATTCTTGACAGAGTAGAAACATACATGTACATTGTATAATGTTTGACAAACACAATTTGTGCGTACCTGATACTGCCATGCCAGACCCCCATAGTACGGCTGTGAGATGTCCAGACAGGCTGTTTGTCCTGTGAAGTTGAAGTACAGTTTTGCCGCCGCCGCAACACCAGACACCACATCCTCATGGCTTGTTATCAGCTGACAAGCTTCCTAGAATTAAAAACAATTTTGTTAAATGTTTGTTATTTTTTCAGTTCAGTCCTTTGGTCATTACCTCTATCTCAGACACTATGCTAAATAATCGGCCATTGGACAAATTCCATACCCTGGTCAAAACAAAGTCATTCAAAACTAAAACATAAAAATGCATATTTTTATGACTGGCCTGATGCACAGCTATGATGGGTTTCAAACAACATTTGTACCACCTCCATATGCAGCTTTAGTGCAGGTATTTCTGATGTCTACCTGCACCTAACCTGCACTGGTCCAGTGTATCCTGTTATACAATATGTTACAGCACCAGACTCTGAGTCATTCAAAGTTATTCTTTAAGGACTGGATGGGATAGTACAATGTAAATGAGTGGTGCACTTGGTTATGTCAAAGGTGTAGTGCAGGTGATATTGTGCAGAAAGAAGTATTTTCAGCCCCACATTTCACAAAAAAAGTCTGGAGAAGTTACCTTGACGGGCCATGCAGGCAGCGGTGTGAGGAAGTTGGCAGGGTAAGGGTAGTCTATCAGGGCATAGATCATCCACAGGTTCACTAGCCAGTCTACCAGGGTCGGCATGTCGTCTGTCGTCAGCGGCGTACAGAGACTGAACATCGATGTCAGCTTACGGAGGCCTGGGTCTGTTAAAAACAAACACGTACAACAAAAAAATAGTAACATAATGATTGTTCTTTGTAACATACTTGAATAGTATCCCATACTACAAAGTACAGTCAAACTTGCCAAAGCGACCACTTCTATAAGCCAGCTATGTGGACATAAGGACTGCTTTTTCTCTGTCCCATTTTTCCCGAACACATGTTAAAGCATTAAGGGCTTACGTCGACCACTTGTCCAATGCGACTGCGATCAGCGCTATTTGGCACCAAACATGGCCCAATCTCTGCCTATGATAACCGCATCATTTTCAAGCATGTGGTGGTGATGATTAAAATAACTAAGCAAGAAGTCTTGGTGGAATCAGTCAGTTTACCATTGATTTCAACAGCATGCCAGTGTTTGTCTGAGCAATGCAAACTGGCACTGGCTGGGTCACTTTGGGTCAATGGGGCTGTCTATTGATTCAGATTCTGAGTCAACAACCCTCACCACAAGATCACATTGCCACCTTTAGTTAGCAAGAACGAGGTAACCTAAAATGTCCGACCTGTCTTCCCTAAGTCCTGGATGACGTCCCAAGAAGATCGGATGATTTCTGGACAGCCTGCTCCTGACTTCTGGAAGGTCCTGGTGGCCACGTGAGAGTACGCCTCGCAGTCTGTGATTCCTGGGAACTGGAATATAGACGCAGCTGAGGCAAGGGACCTGGACAGGAGGACAAAAAGAGTCATGTATGCTGGAAATTGTAAGACTGGTCTCTTCAATCTAAGTAGAAAGAGCCTATGAGAAAAATGTCGTCAACTTTCATTGACAGACTTTGGTATTACACAAGTTCTACTTCTTTCTTAATGAACCTTGTGAATTAGAAGAAAAATTCCTTCTATATCTAAGTTTTAATCAAGGAGGTTTCACTATTAAGAAGGTTGATATGGTACTTCGAGTTCTATTATTATTTGCCCACTGCTATACAGCAATATCTGATCAAAGTGCCAAATGTATTGCATTATACTATAGGAAACTATTTCTATCCAGTGAAATAAATCCTCAACTCTCCCTTTCACAAAGTTTCAGTTGGACATGTTCCAAAGAACAAAAACTGCAGTTCCTCACCCTGCCACAAGGTGGGGATATTTCATCCGTATCCATGCGGCGAGCATGCCTCCGTAGGACCCGCCAAAGGCGAAGACGGGGCTGTCCTCAGTTCCGCAGATCGTTTCCTTCAGGTGTACGATCAGCTCGGCGAAGTCTGCAAGCGCCTGGGTCGAGGTCAGGTAACCCAGGTGGGCGGGGTCCTGGTGGGGAGAATCTATATGTAGATCAGTCGTTAGAGGAAATTTAAACGGAAGCAGCTGCTAATGGCTACCAATTCTCTATTGGTTATGTTGGGGGTGTTGGAACATTCAACATACATGTGAATACATTCTAAATGCAAATAGAGTCTTGAGATGATTTCAGAGTATCACCTTGAAAGAGTCCTGGCCATACGGCAGAGACTGGCCGTAGTAGCGATGCTCTGCAAAGATGACCATCGCACCAAACCTGGGGGCCATCTCAATCAACAACCCCTAGGATGGGAAACAAATAAAAAAAAACGTGACTGCAGAGTTGTTATAATATCAAATTTTCATGCTGAACAAAATCTCAAGACACATACAAGTACTTGCACTAGGTCCTAAAACAAAAACAGTCTACTACATTGTACTGGCCAGTATGATATTGTCACCTATTGTGTTAGCCAATCAATCAAGTTAGATACAAGACATCATATATACTGATCATTATATATTTGTAATTGGAACAAGCCAAAATATCTAACGTGATGACTGATAAATGCACACCGGTGAAAGAACCGGTACCCCACTCTTTAAAATACAACTGTTCAAGTAATATATTTCTAAACTGTGAAAAATCCAGGTTTTACAGAGTTGCTGTGCGCTCTGTCGACAAGGTAAACTACAGTTACTATAATGTTACCGTGTTCTTGACGAAATCTTCGATATCCCCTTCATTCCCAGTGTACAGGAAGACGGGGCCTCCAGGTTTGAAGTAGGTGTCGTTCACCAGGTAACGGAGCTGGAATGTGTCTGAGTTGGCGAAGCTAAAGTGGTCCACCTTTTAGAAAGGAAAAGAAACAAGATGGAGGATGCTTTGAGTATTAGCCTGGTGTCCAGCCTTGTTTATTTTATTGTCATCTGCATAATTATGCCTTGGTTTCAACTAGAGCTGTGTACCGGTACGCAGTACCGATACTGTACCGGAAAAATTGATTAGGTACAGGTCCAAAATACCTAATCCCTCAGTACCGGTACTGTACCTAAACAATTTCACACCAATTTTATGCCTATTTGTGACCTCAAATGTGTAAATAGCTGGTTAACAATGGGTCCCTGTGTAAGGACAGTGTGTTCATGAAAACAATAACACCTTAGTTTTGCCTATATTTTATCTGAGCATTCGCCATAAACAAAGAATAAACCTTAACTATCAAGTTTGTTTGTTTTTTTTGTTATTGAAGGAGTTCAGAAGAGCATATAAATTGGTCCAATTGTTCAGGTACAGGTTCAGGTCCGGACCTGTACCTAAACCTGTGTACCTGTACCTGTACCTGTACCTAAAATTTGTTTAGGTACACAGCTCTAGTTTCAACCTATACACCTGTCCATGTGTACTGTACATACACCCACGTGCACATACACACGCACACGCACACATACAAACATTCACACTCACTCACTCACTCACTCACTCACTCACTCACACACACATGCACATACACACACAAACACATACAAGTATAATGCATGATAATTACATACACATACAGATACACACACACACACACACACGACACAAACAAATGATGTACACACACACACACACACCACACGCAAACACATCACACGCAAACACACCACATGCAAACACTCACACAAACACATATACACACACAAACACGCACTGTAGCTGTAACGTTTCACCACATACGGTCAAACCTGCCAGACGTGATTTGCGGAAGTGTTGCATGCATGTAGGCATTATTCCTCACCTGTACTTCAACATATCGAGTCTGGTATCCCGGCACATTCGTCCCGCTAACACTGCAGCTCCCCTGGTTTAGCACAACATAGGCTAACAACAAGCTAACCAGCGGCACTCGTTGTTCGCCCATGATGCGCAATCCAACCCGCTATATTTAGAGCAGCTCCATGTCATTCCGGTCGTTCAAGTTGTGGCCTTCATTCCGTCTGCAGTTTACCCTTAGACTGACAGGAGTCGCTATTACTCCAGTACTAAAGTAACTGCAAGCAGATGTAATGACCAGTAAACTCAGTTTGTGCCGGTCAATAATATGTAAAAACGCCAATAAATTAGAAGTTTGCAATTGGCTAAAATGTGTTTGCCCCTCCCTCATCTTCAGCAACAATCTGAGTTAGTTTATCTAGCATCAATCGGTCTTCAAAACCACACGACCCTTCTGAATCCTCTGCAATCTAATCCTAAATACCTGGACATATCTGGAGACAAGTGATCCTCTTCAAGACACAAGATCCTCCTTGACATACGTCTCTTTTCCTGCTATGTTTCTGTGTTAAACAAGCTTTTACTTTCCTCATTTTGACACCCCACGAAGCATACCGAAGCCTGTCCTTGGTGCTGAACACCTTCCACACACATAAGGAAACCAATTTAGTGTTTAGGGTAGCAATACTAATCTTTCCAATTTCCCTAGCGTCACTTCTTCCGGAGCACAAGCTTAAGCGCTACCTACTATCCAGAAATCACGACCCTCGCATGTCCAGTCACAAAAACATAACCTTCTTAGCAAAGCTAATGATGCTGCTTAGAAAAACGGTGAAACATACAACAAGATAGTCTTCAACATTATTGTCATTTATTCTTTATACATGGCAAAACAATTAGATATGTACAGACCCAGACAATGACAGCAATCATGCTAATACAGTAAGCATGGCTGAACTTAATTTAAAATCTTTCCTTGCCGACAAGGCAGATATTTTTTTTCTCCCGGCCATTGCTTCTTCCTACGGGAAGAACTTTCCAAGATTCCTCGCGTAGTTTTTCTCTTGAAAAAAAGCACCGGTTGCAACATGTTCACATCTTTCTAAGGTGCCGCAAGAGATAGAAACTTCCGGAACTAGAGAATCTGCCCGCATTCAGATTGCTCACATGGGAATGGTCAAAAGTTTACGTTATCAACTTATCTATGGCAGTACCTATTAAAGTATAATGAAAGAAGCCAGTGCATCACACTTATCAGGTACCTCACTGAGTGCCTGTTGTAGTAACCATTGTAAGTTTTGTGTAAGAGAGTTAAACTCAAATGTGAAATACACGACAGGTTACTAGATAAGAGTCTCCTCTTGGATTACATACTAAGACATACATCTACTTTCTGTAAGCTCTGGTTCACCCTTCAAAAATCCACTCTGTGTAAGTCTTGTCTTCAAGAAATTCAATCTTCCTATATCCTTAAATTTTCCACACATCCTTGCTCCTAACAATATGCTCAACCCAGGTTTCTCTTACTAGCAAGTTATCTTTAAATAGAATGCAGACCATGTCAAATATTCAATTCACATACACAATCTAGACATTGTCCTGCATTTTGGAAAGGTACACCCAAATCTACAGTCATACTTTTAGTCGGTATACACATAAAATAAATATCATCAAACTTGACAACAGATCTGGCCTGGCTTGAGCACATCCTTGGAGCACGTTGTACAATTAGTCTGCTAAAATGTCTCAACCGTGAGCTATGGGGCTGCATATAACGCAACGATTAAGTTATAACATTGGCACTTATAATGATTTACTTTGCATACTTTGATATATACACAGCTAAACTCATGGAGTCTAGCAGATCATACTGAGCAATTGGACTACCAGGATCCATTCAACTTCTTTGATACCTCATTGCAGCCCCTCTGATTCCTTAGCTTTGAACTGTGACTAACAACTAACATGTACAACAACCCTTTCACAGGAGTCAGGACAGACATTTCTATTTCAGCCTCACAACGTGGAAAGCGTTACAGATTTCCTACACATGGCTGAAAAACTTGGTGCAGCCGGAAATCCAGTTTTTGTTCCGTTTGGTCGACGACTATCCCCCTCCCACAGACCAAACGCGAACCAAACTGGCTTTACGTCTACTCATAGATGTGGGACTGTTGTCTCATTGCACTGTTTTGCCTGGAGCTATGGTTGCCGGTACAGACACATCGTAAATTTCCAATCTGGCAGGATCGCTCGTGAACATGGCTCCTCCTCTCCTGGACTTTGCTGCAATACGACAGTCTGTCAAGTTTGGAAGTTTCACGTTCAACTCTCTCCTGAACGACTCTCCTTGGATTCTCCTCTTGCCCTTCGTGGCTTGACTTCACTGTACACACATCTTGCTTGTTGTATATGGACGGTTTCAGAAACTGACAAACATTCTGTGTGCTTTTCTGAAGACCTTGCTTTTTTTTACTAAAGTTTCTATCACAGGTTCCTTTTGGCAGAGAGCTTGACTTCTTGAGGACATCTAGATAATGGCCTGATGTAAGACGTTGTCTTACTTCAGCCCAAGTGTCTTCATGATCTGTTCGTAGACTGTCCACGCCATGGCTGCCATCAACGTGCGCCGAACGGTGCGTGGAACGATGCCTCGGAAGAAACCCTTCAGCCCATCAATCTGCAAGGTAGAAAAAAGAGGCATCTTAAGTGACAAACTCAAACTCGGAAAACTATGAATATCAGAAACACAGTATTTGGCTTCAGTTGTTGTGAGTAAAGAACTTTGCCATTTAATCATTAAACCTGATGAAATTATTCACCAATACACATATTGCCAAGCATAAGTTTCAGTTACAGATCTACCCGACCCAAACTTACCTCGTATACGCTGACGGCAGCTGACCCCATCCACTTGAACTTGTAGGGGTGGATCTGCATCTGTGTTTTGATGACGTCAGCAGGCTGCGTGACGGCCGAGGCCATCGCTCCGGCCACGATGCCGCACGTGAAGTGGAGGATGGGGACAAAACTAGAGTCCAGCTGATCTGTGGACAGGTAGAAAAGCTAAGTAAGTATGTGGATGTTATACTTGGGGCTCAGAACAAAGAAAGACTGGACAAGATTGGATTGCTCATTCCTTCACAAAGACCAGTGTTGTGCACTCAAAAATCTGGTTAACTCAAAATGATTTCTACCAACACAGATGAACTTTCAAGCTAAAACTAAGCATTTTCCTCACCACCGGGTATGCGTTTCTTGAGCTCGGAGTAACACATGAAGTAAATTCCTGAGAACGGCACGTCCCTCAGCAGAGTGGCGCTCAGCCCACTGTACAGGCCCTTCCTGCCCTCATGGCGGTACATGTCCTTCAGCGCAGCCGCAACGCCGCGGTACTGGAACATCCCGCACTGAGGGAACACACAGGGAATCATTATCATTTACAATAATGACAATGACACTTTAACAAAAGACCTGAGTAATACTTGAGTAAAGCTTACTTTTGGACAGTTGGCTTCAAAAGAAGAGATGTGCGCTTACCTCGTATCTAACTTTCACTACGGTCACAGGTAACATGGAGACGCCGACAATTGAGCGAGCTGTGGCACCAAGCAGCAGGGACTGGGCTGCGGTTGGGTCAGTCTCGCTGTGGAGAGACAAACAAAAGAGACCATGAGGATCATTACATACGAACACTGGAACTTAGAAGTCTCAGGGAATAAACCCTAGCACAGAAAATCCAGCAGGGATGAAATGTCCTTCAAAAAAAGTCACAGGGAGAAGGAAGTGGTAACAATGTGTAACAGTGTTGTCATGTTATGTGTAACAGTGTTGTCATGTTATGTACTGTTTTTTTTAATTATGCATACCTATTTCTCATGTTAAAGATCCTACTGCACTATCGAGTGGGGGTCCGTGAGTGGTTCAAACGTTACAGTCTGGTCTTTCGCAGCTTGTACATTCTATACAAATCTGAGGTTATGAACCACAGGTGAGCTATGCTTACCTGAAGAAGAATGCCTTGAGCTCGTGCAGAGTACAGAAGTACATCCCGACTCCTGGCACACAGCGCCAGATAGACTGTGGGGAACAGAACACACCAACAGTCAAAACCAAACCATCTCTATGCCACATGTGGCTTCCGTATTATCACAAAGAGATTCAAAATTCTCTCATTCAGGTTGGTGATGATTGCGCAGCTCAGAATATACTTACCGGGGTGACCCCCTTCCAAAGGCCAGCCACTTTCTCATTGCGGATGACGGTGACCAGGGTCTTAAGCATGCCAGCATGGCTCTTGGACCTACGGAAAAAAACTGGACATGAGTAACCTGGAGCAAACTTCCTGTTCCATATGCATTTCCATTCAACTGACTACATCCATATGCAATCAGGGCTTGAAATACTTTTTCTGTATACCTGCACTGCTGCAGGTAACATTAAAAATTACCTGCACCACTGTGAATTTAGGAAGTATGGATCATACTAAAACTTGTTCAGAAACCATTGCCATTATTTCCATTATACTTCATAGGTGGTAACAGTCAATGCAGCAAATAAAATCCACATACACCCACAGTTCTATATAAACCCAGTACACAAGCCGGTGCAGGTAGACATCAGGTGGTACTTCAAACCCTGACAATTTATTCTTTAACTAGCCTTATCGAACTTTCTTAACCTTCTCCCTGCTGCTCAACCCTGTAACCAACACAAACTTGGTGCCAAAAGGCTACTTCAGCAGGGAGAAGGTTAAAACAAATCCCTGTAAAAGATTAACATCAAGAACATCAATGTACCAAACATAGAGCAAATAGGTTTCATGTCACATATAAACAATGTCACATCACAGTAGAAAGACGGTGTCAGTTTGTGAACACGTGTTACGTACCATATCATCCATACTGGATCATAGCCACAGGTGCCCCCACTAACGTAACATCACACCAGCGTGCATCTTAGTGTACTTAGTACCATCACCACCAGTGCTCCAGTACCCAGGCTGACCGACCGACCGTGTTTGCGGGCACACCCCATATCGTGCTTGGGTTGTACACCCCCGAAATCGACCTGTAGTGCCTTACCCGATGGCCAGGGGGCTCTGTAGCCTTGTCTTTACCAAGTCCAGCGGTTGGAAGAGAATTGTGGAGCATGTTCCGCTGAACGATCCTGCCAGAAATGACTTAATCATTGGAGCCTGGAGAAAACAAAGGGGGGAAAAGTATAGAACAGTCAGAGAGGACTCAAGATAATGTGGCACTGGTAACATTGAAAAATTGGCCGCAAAGACTGTAGGAAGTATGAATACTAAAAACTGTTCAGAAACCATTGCAAGGTCAGAGATTGGAACACACAGCTAGCTGCCGCCACGCTGCATGTCTGCGAAGCTGGTGTGTTTCGCTGAAGGGCGGTTATACCGGTTATACCGATACAGATACATGTGTATGCCATCCAAAAATAGTTCTGTGAACGTTCCACCTGCTTTCGTTTGTCCAGAAAACTGCACCACTTACATAACTCTGCCCAGCAGGACTTTTTAAAAATGGTCATCATTATCATAATACAACAGACAAGCGACCTACATAGGAATTCCATAGGTTGTAATACAACACTGTAGTAAGCAATGTTGTTGTGCTTTTTTGTTTGGTTCCATGCAGTATCAGTGGTCTCTATGGAAGATATTATGTGGCTTCCACTGAATGCGGGTCAAAAACACAGTTGTGAGACATCTCAACATCAGTAATATTTGGATGTTAGAAAAACAAATGTCAATAGCAAATTACTCCTCTTCCTCTAGCTCTCTGACATCAGATATTTCAATACTTTGCCTGAAACATGCCACTAAATGAAAGATTTCACTGTGTATATGATGATAATGTGTATTCAGGACTACAGAAAGACACATTAGCACACATGTTAGCCCTTACATCTACCACATCAGTTTTATCTAGGCCAGGACAACACATGTTTAGCCACGTGAAGTCTGTGAAATTCAAAAGCACTTTTGGGGACCTTGGCCGAGTATTTTGTTAGTGCGGTCCCCTGAAGTGTTTTTCAGACTTCACTCCACGTGGTCTGAAAAAACTTTCCTCACTCAGCAATTCACCATGGACTTTACCAATGGAACACATGTTTAGACACGGGACCAGAAAAATAACACACTGTGGCACTTAGTAACTCATTACAGTCATTTACTATGGAACCCAGGCATAACAAGAGCACACAGAAAAAAAAAATGGGCAAATCCATCCTCAAGTTTGCAGACATGGTATAATCATTTCTCTGTTTTGTTTTTTCAATTCACACATAATCCTCCCAACATTCATGCCAAAATCATCTAAATGGAACAGCCCATGCCATACAAGCATGGCCTGGCATGTGACCTCTGCACTTTGTAACCTAGCAGTGACCTGGACTTTGACTCACGTGTATGTGCATGATGTTACTAACATCATACCTACACCTTATACTTGTTTTTCTTTTGGGAAAAGGGGGAGGGGGGCACTGAAGCTCATCTATTCCATTCTGATGAGAAAAAAAATCTTCAACAAAAATGAAATTTAGGCCTTAGTGCTTAAGAAAGTAACCAGTACTAGTATTTCAACTTTGGGCTTTGAGAATTCAAAATATATTCAATTCCTGATTCTTTTCAACTCTTCACTGTGAAAACACATTGTAGATTGCCATCTTTAGAGCAGCACCTGTTTTCTACGCTTGTCTACTGGAGCATATATTATGACAACAGTGCCCAGGTCAACGACCCCCCCAGTGTTCAAGTTACCATCACAAAGACAATGAGCTGTCCGTAAACAACTCCAACCACCTGTCAGTAAACAACATTCTCACCTGAACTACTGTTGGAACTTGTTACAATAGAGGCAGGTAGAACAAGGCAGACTTCACTTTCCTTTATCTGTTTAATTCGCCTCTTCTGAAAGCCCTGCAAATTTACCTTGTACGCCATCTTTACACCGCAAGTATGTTTTGCAAATTGTGCATTCATTTCCTTTACTGAGTGGGCTCCACCCACAATGGTAAACACTTGAATTGAGAGTTTGCAAACGAGCACTAAATTTTTCAAACGGGTACCATAGCAACTGTAAAACTAAAGGATCCTTTTTCATTTAAGAAACATTGTCACCTTTGCTTCAAGCTCATTCATGATTGTCTCTCATTCGGGTCACTGGCCTACACTGTGCAGTTGCCTGTGCAATGCAGTTTTGACACGTAGATACATATCTGCTGTCAAGTCAGTAGCAACACTGGGCTTGGGCCAAGCAGAGGGGTTACCACAGGACAACCACAAAATGCTTTACAGTTATACCCCTCTCAAACAATGTTGCAAACAAGTACAGTTGGATGCCTTTCTGAATTGTGTCTTTGCATATATCATTGTATTTTATACACTTCTCTGGGTCTGAATAGTATTATCGTGAACTGTCTACATACGACTATAGACTTGTCAGGCAGTGAATTTAGCCTGGGGCTGGGTGGGGTTACTACAGTACATTTTTTTGTCATAACGTTACGAACTGGCAAATTACAGAAACCATTGCATTGACGCCACGTCTAGACATGACCACAGACTTAAGCCTCTGGCTAGGTGGGATATTTATACAGGTATTACAACAGGATCATTGAATCAAAGAATTGCTTTAGGTTGACATGAATGATGAAGTTATGCACTGCTCTCCATGTTCTCTACACCATTTTGGCATTTTCACATTTAATATTCTGTAGAAGTTCAGAAAACTGCTGTCTGAACAATCAGGCTGTACTCTTGACCCAAATCTAAAGAGTGAGGTTACAAGATAGCCGCACATAAACAGCTAGTCTGTGTTCATAAACCTGATTTGGCTTCATAAATCTGTCCCTTATGTTTGGAATTGGGAGTGTGCTTAGACAGACAACAAATTGTTGAAAGGAAGCCAAAACCTCTGGCTGGAGGCCAATACCCTTTGCCAGTTCACTGAGGCCTGGCTTGATTCCATGGGCGGTACCTTACTATATTTTTATGGGATGGGTTGCGCAGAAATGTTCCCAACTAGTTGTCAAATTACTCCTGTCATGTCACTGTTGACATGGTCAACCCACTAATGTAAGTAACACTTTGAAGCAACACATTCTTAGAAACCCCATTTCACATCAGCTTCTTTGAACTCATCCACTGCCATCCACTGTCTACAAGCAGAATGTGTTTCTTATTTTTTACATTTATTTAAATTCTTACATAATCTAACTTTCACTACTTGATAGATAACAGTATGTAACCAGATCAAGGGATGCAAAACAGGACATTTTTAAGTAAGTTGTCATTATTTGAAAGGCTGATAGGAAGTTAGCTGGAAAATCTTTACAAAACTCATTGTAATTCTACAGACAAACTTGACACTCATGAAATGTGAACGATGTTCCCACTGAGTGACCTTTCAAGGGTTCAATATTTAGCTCTGGGACAATCCTTGGCAATGAATAAGCAGTAAGTTGGAAAATCTTTACTAAACTCATTGTAATTCTATACACATACATGTATACTCAACCTCAGTCATGAATTTGATGAAATATAAATCATGTTCCCTACTGAATGACCTTTCCAGGGTTTAATGTGAACTCTGGAACAATCCCTGGCAATCAAGTGAAATACCATAATGATAAACGCTCCACTGGGAACTGTGGGGATCATCGCGTTTCATACAGAGCCATAAGTGCCTTTTAAAATTCCAGAGGGTTAGAATATTTGCCATGGCGATGGGATTTGAATGACAAAACCGTTCAGAGTTGCAGGGAGACTAATAATCAGGATAGTAGGTTCTAGAACAGCAGTTTTAAAAAAATAAGAAGTTGCCACGCAAATCTGGAAATGGCATCTATTACATCAAAGCACAGCAAGACACCTGACTTTCAGTCCTGATTAACTCTTTTAACAGAGATATCTATTTTAAGTTATATTTTCAGCAACTAGTGTATAACTGGGCTGCCAAGGAGGCATTTGATAGAACTGTATCTGTGGAACAGATGCCAAAATTCTCATGCTCCTTTTAGATGTTATTCTCGTGTTGCCTCTCCCTAAAGCCAAATCCACATGCTGTTCAAAAAAAATGTCCTCTCTACACAGATAACACAGATGTCAATAATTTGACCAAGTCTTAAATTGTTCACTAATAGTAATGGTCTACAGACTGTAGACAGGGACTGTAGACAAATAGGAAACCTACCAATTCTCCCAAATATCGAATTTCCAATAATGGTCCACTGCCCACCTGCTTTGCTCATACTGTATTTGCAAAGACACAGATTTTAAAACTTATAAATTTCCAGACAGTGAGTCCTTTGCATAATAAAGGAATGTGACTGCTAGTAGTATACTCACAGTATCAAACAGCTTGGCTTGGCCCATTGAAGTCCTTGCAGACTACATCTTGGTCCAATGTCTAACCTATCTAAGACTACTACTACTAGTACACTACTTCGAATTTTGTCTAAAATTTGCCTAAGACATAAGTGTGTTGACCTAAACAACAGCAATTATGAAAGTCTTGAAAAACTGTCAGATAATCCTAGACCCAAAGTCCCAGTGGTCCCTATGCACTGAACATGTTTGCGCGAAGGTGGTATGTTTTTTTGAAGCGTCAGCAGCTATATTCTGCTCAGGTGACTCAAGAAGCCATTGTTGACAAGGGGTGTTCCAAATTGTTTATGGGGATACTTACATATTTAGCAACCAAAATATTGATCGCATCACATTCTGGCTGCATCACAATACTTTTATTTGGTATCTAAAACATATTTTATACATTTTATGGAACCAGTTTCCAAGAATTGTTGAGATTTATGGAACAATACGTCGTCAACAATTTTTTTTGGATCCTGCCCACCCCCCGATGACCTAGCATGTCTTATGGTCCACACCCCAAACAGAACCAGTCTGAACCGGACTCGCCAACCTCATGACGCCTGGTGGAATTTGAAATTTCGTGAAAAACAATCCATAAACTCCACCCAAATAGTCCCCATGGCTTCTCAGTAAGGCCAGCTCAAGTTTGGAAATGGTTGTGGGTACGTCGGACGCTGTTTCGTAAAATGCGACCCGTTTTGAAAGCGTCAAAATATCAATATATGTTACTGGAACCATTCCAAGTCTTAGAGTACGATGTAAACATTGCGTAATTTGGCAATATCCTGCCCAATATCGACAACAAACTGTTTCTACGATCATTCCAAAACCTTAGAATGTCTTAGCTCCTTACTTAGTAAACAACTAAATATTGGGGATTTAGAGCCACACTTTCAATTATGTCAAAATCACAGAAAAAATTGCGCAATACCAACCGGTATCCCGCACCGCTACAGGATATAACTCTTGAGCAACAACACATTTCATACTCACAGCAATAATGGAATCCATAGTGGCTCGAGCTCGCTCCAACGACGGGGATTTTTCTTTGAGCACCAGTGCTCCTGGAATAGCTGCCGATAGACTTCTAATTGTATACTTAGCTAGACTACTGCCCAAAACTTCTCCGTACCAGCTGAGGTTGTGCAACACTACTAAGTCAAGTCGCCCTCCCCCTTTGGAAGTGTCGCTGGTACGGAGAAGCCTAGACAAGCTCCGTGTCCGAATAATCGGAGTAGTAGATTTCATCCACCCGGCACAGCAATGTCATCTTAACTCTAAAATCCGTGGCCAGAAATGACATTTGAAACGGAGATTTGGAGAGAAACTTCGCGAGGACCTACTCTTGGTAGCGACAAAGCGTTTGTGAGGCCCATGGTTGGGAATCACCCTGCTTTCTGGGGATGTAGGCGGAAGGATTTCACAACATCCTACTTCATATCACTCCGCCAAGAATTTCAAATTCAAAATTGGGAATGTGATCAAATTTATCGTCATTTTTGAGTATAAAATTTCATTTATTGTGTTATTTTATTGTCTTTGAACCAAAGTTTATTTTATTTCAAGCATGTATAAATCAAATGGGAACTATATTTTTGACCGAATCACTTCGCTGCAGTGCTCTATTGTCACGCACTCGACGCGTGCTCCGGGCATGGACCAGATCCATGATGACGCAAGATATCCCCGATACTGTCCTGTGATTGGTCAGGATTATGTGGCGGGAAAGACAAACTGGACACCGGTGCGTGATCACTCTAATCAGCTGTTTATCTACTTCACGTGATTGCGGCACGTGAACACTTCCAGCACGTGAATTTGTTTTTGCAGGGATATTTGCCCAATGTCCCTGACTACTGTCTGGGTCACTGGGTCTCAAAGCCACGTTTTCATAAAGGCAGTAAAACTCACAAAACAATGAAGTAAAAGTAAAAAGAAAGAAAGAAACAAACGAATCACTATATATATATATAGAAGTAGAACATATACATAGCTAGCAAGGCCAAAAGGAGGCTTGCTCATAGTCCAAATTCGTTGTTTTGAATTGCAGTAGCTATCAAGTATCACACTGAATTATTTGTCAAGTTACTGAAGTTCACATAACCAAGGACATTATACAGAACATAGAATATTTCTACTTTTGTTTCTATGATGACATGACCTAAAAGTTGACGTGGCATGGTTGATTGCAAAGTTTCTGACGTTCTCACAAGTGATGAAAGCTCCTTGGTATGACCAAGAATATTATTATAAACTGTCTTGTTTTGACTCACATATATGGGGTGTGAAGACTGCTGGTCTGTCATACTATTACTAAGTATTACTAGTACTACAGTGACATGCACACAAGGGCTTAGGCACACTGTCAGTGATCTATGATTTACCAAGAAAGCATCATTGTAACTTACCATAATTACTAAAACTGTAGAAGATGATGACATGATGACTGAGAAGCGGCTGGAAAGAGTACCTATAAATTGAAAACGAGAGCGACAAACTGAACTCCTTCAGTGGAACAACTCCCCTGGCACGTTATCTGTCTAGCTGGCCAATTTGTACTCTTTCCAGCCGCTTCTGAAGCTTGGTAGAGCAGCTAGGATCTTGATGAATGTGGTAAAAAGCAGATCAACCCTGCATCTGCTTGAAAATCTGGTGTTGCATCATACATCCAGACTCCCGCCTGATGACTAGTAGTACATACTAGTACTAAGGGCGGCGTGAACCGAACCTGACCGATATCAAATTTCTTTTTTTTTTCCTTTCCCTCCCTCCCTACCTTAATCCGACACTTTTATGCACAGGCAAGATTGAATGATAAATCCACAACTAGACATAGTCATTTTCATTGTCGCATTTTGCGAACAGTATTATAGATCGGGCTTGTAACGCTGACAATTACGTTATGTCATATGTCAAAGTCATGGGGCGTATTCATATCCTCGTTAGCTGATAAAGATGAACACCGAGTCAGAACAGGTGAACACATAATTATCACAAGATTTTACATATTAGGACCTCAATATTAGCTATCGGCGTACTTATTAAATATCATATAGTTAGCCTGTGCACAACACGAGTGACCGATTTGAACATGTGCAACAGTCACGCCATCTCTCTATTTAAGTAGACCATGTTGATGCTATGTACGGTACGGGAAAGCCCGCCCGAGTAGCCCAGCTATGCGACACACCCCCAAATATCATACCATAACTAGACGGACGGAGCCCACGATCTGTTATGACACGGCTTTTGTGTACATGTATTTGGGGCAGAGCGAGACGTAACTGGTCTGCAACTTGATCTTGAACTTAAGTTGCAAAGTCGTTGGGTGATCGACCTTGTCACCAAAGAATATCACATGCGCAATGGGCTAGGATGCAGCCATAGCACGCTAGCTAACAGACGAATGTGATGTAGACTGCGTAGGCAGGCTTAAATTTGTCTTTCCTGGGCTGTTCCTAAACTTTGGAAATTATGCGCATCAAAGAGTCTTCCTCTTTGTTTCCAAGTGGATGCAAAAAAAAGGTTTCTTGACCAAATATTTCAGATGAAATAAAAGACAATTTATAGCCTTTCAAAGCCTTAATCCCTCGCAACATTGCCCCTCCCCACCAGTCCTGAGTACGATGCATATGGGCACATGCAATGATGCATGCCTAAGTTCAAGACTTAGGAGAATTACAGAGAGCCTCAAACGGCAGGTAAAATATACTCTCAAAGCTCACAAGTTTCAATGGGAAGGTTTAGCTTCAGATTTCGGCATGGGTGTGCCCCGATTTGCAAACCGAGCGCAAGTCAGAACACACAGAAGAAGCACTACCCCAGGGCCCCGGACATACAAGCCTGGTTCCTACCGTTGCCAACTGCAGTAACGTTCTATTCCACGTACTGCTGCACTCCTCAAGTCTTCTGTATCCCACGGACTGAATCCCAACTCGTAACGCCACTCCAACATGGTCGGGGGTCCGTACATGTATCATCCCGACCAGACGACTAGCTACATCGCATCAAGTTGGAAAATTACTCCAAAATTTTCCATCACGCCGTGACCAGAGACTGAGGTCACAACCTCCTACCAATGCCCGGTAAGCAGATGTTAAGTTCGGCCGGTTTTACGGTGTTATCCCAAAAATGCTCACAGTTCTGGACAATTTTTTAAAAGTACATTCGTGGATGCGCAGATACTACTAGTACGTAGATCCTATTAATAAAACGATTCAGGCATAGAACTAGATAGATTTGGTTCTAGATACAATAGGCCCCTAGTTAGTAGAAGTTAAAAACCATTAAAAATTCCGAAAACAGGCATAAAGCTTGCGGGATTCTACATTGGTTAGCAGATTATCCCCTATCAGAAAGTTATCCAATTACTGGCTGTGTCACGACGTATAGTTCCCAACTATTGCGTGGTAGCATGAAGTACGTAAACTTATCATGTATTTTTAATCTGTATTGATCCAACCGTAATTTATAATCTGGCCACGTCCTACCAAGTACAACCAAGGTCAACAACCACTGTGGTCAACAACCTTGTACCATGTATGGATTCACAACTGAAAAACGAATCAATGGGCAAGTTAACTAATTCAGGGTCAAATTCTGCTCTAGATCTGATGGGAAAACATCTCCCCAAATTTTAAAGTTTGAAAGGTGTATATAACTTGTATAAAAGTAATACGACGAGCGCCGAAGCCTAGTTAGTGTGTGTGTGTGTGTCTGTCTGTCTGTCTGTGTGTGCATGCGTATATATGTGTTTGCGCGTGCGCATGTGAGTGTTGTCTAACGAAATCTTTTAGTAAGTTACAGCCTGACAGTGACAAAGACATTTGCCGATCCCTAGAGGGCGGGAAGGGAGTCAATAACCCCAGCCAGCAATTTTGGCCAGTGGGGGTTGTTGTGTAAACACAGGCTAGTTTCAACCTCCATGGGTATTTATACTAGTGTAGGGTATGAAGGGAGAGGCTATAGATGATGTCCGCACTCAGTGGCTGCCTGCTAGAACTGTCTCCCAGACGCTGTGGTCTGAGTCCTTTATTCACAACTAATAAGATACAGATGTGGTGTGCCTATGACAACTTCCTGTCACAGGGGACAGGGGGACATGGGGGGTTGTCTCCTAACACATTGCAACACTCGCCCCCTCTCACAAGTCGTTCGTCCCCGAACGAAAAGATACTGTACAAGGTTTTACAAAGTTGAATACAAGATACAAGAAAAGGTATAAATCGGTAAGACATGTCATGGCGTGATTGACCGAAGATAATGTAAACAAAGCTGATAAGTAAACATTCAGGAGGACCATAAAATACTAAAATTCTTCCGGTACACAGATGGATTCTTCCGGTGCACATATGGACTAACTGCTGTGAAAATGGGCGCTGGTGATTTCAAAGGCGCCAGTACTTGGAGCACAACATACAAACAAGTTACATAAAGGCTTCCTAGAAGTTTTGACCCGCAGGCCGCAGCTCTATCTAGGCAAGCAGAAAATAATCTAAAAACAGTCATCCGACGCCACACCGGCCTTCGATGTGATCGGGGAGCAATAGGCTTCCTAAAAGAGTTGACTCGTAAGTCGCAGCTCATTTTAGGCAAGCAGCATATCTAGAAAATGCACAGGAGTGTCGGCCCGCAGGCATCGACCAGTTCCTCGGCTAGCATTTCTATTCGCAAGACACAAAATACAAAACATAGCAGATAGGACAGCGTGCTACAATACCTTTCAAAAACCACAAAAGTTCGCAGATGTTACACACGGCTAGAGTTCACTCGCTAAAGTTCGCAGATGTTATACACAGGCAGAGTTCAGTGGTGGAAATTCCAGGCACAAGTACTTAGAGTTCATTCAGGTCACAGCAGAAGTTCAACAGTGCGGATGGTCATTGTCGGAAGCTGGAGCACACGGAGGCTTCAGGTCGGCGGCACTCGTCGGCAGCATGGGCTGGTCGGGCTGGCACGATCGGACGCAGAAGGACGGCAGCGTGGTCTACTCAGGAGCGGGCGCACGGTCCTGTACACGTGGCGTGGTGTCGGGCTCGGCGACGGCGGCTGGAGATGGCTGGACACATGCATGGCACGAGTGGTCGGTCAGCGAGCTCAGGCTGTGTAGTGGACGGGACGGTGGCACGTCGACGGTCGGGCGGGGTCGGGTAGCGGCATGGCACGGCGGCAGGCTGGCTAGGCAGGCGTTTGGCTGCATGGCACGGCGGCAGGCTGGCTAAGCGGACGGTTGCAGGCATGGTAGCGCAGCTCGAGCAGCAATCGGGCGGGTGGAATCGTCGCCTGGCGATTCAGGAGGCATGGCCTAGCACGATGGCGTTAGGGACGGGTTCGGCCGCTCGTAAGCGGCAACACACCGCTGGCCACCAATGTAGGGTATGAAGGGAGAGGCTATAGATGATGTCCGCACTCAGTGGCTGCCTGCTAGAACTGTCTCCCAGACGCTGTGGTCTGAGTCCTTTATTCACAACTAATAAGATACAGATGTGGTGTGCCTATGACAACTTCCTGTCACAGGGGACAGGGGGACATGGGGGGTTGTCTCCTAACACATTGCAACACTAGTAACATTTTTAAAAAGTCACTAAAGTATTGATCTGGTGCTACTTTGGACGTTTTGGGGGCATGACTGGGGCAGGGGTGTCAAACCAAGGCCGATCACCTCTAGGGATTTTAGACAGAAATAAAAGTAGGACAAATTTTCCATGCGTGTGTGTGACGGACGTAAAGAGAATAAATAATTCAGCGACGCCTCATTATCAGTTATCTTCCCGAATCCCCAGGGAACAGCTGTTATGTCAGTTTGACCTTCTTTTGATGAGTATAGCCAGGTTGCACATAAAAACAAACCCATAAAAACGTCGACGTTAACTTTGATAATGTCAGCAGAATGTTTTGATTGTCCCTTTAGCGTTAGAAAAGGTACTTCTTCCAGTTCTCGAATTTGTCGGTAAAGACGGGACAATGCAACCGCCATCGCCCGAGGCATCACCATTAGATTGTGCCAATTTTACCTGGCCAGCAAGACACATCAGACAATGCCAATATGTAAAACACAGCTTTCCATTTTTAAGAATCAAGTATATGAACTCGTCCTGTTTTACTTTGGTCGATTGACGACGAAGTCAATCGCGTATCGGGTCCGCCAAACTCTGTCTGGATTCAACAAAGTTATATATATAACATACCCGCATAAGAATTACTAGAACCATTCAGGCAAAGCCTTGTGAGATCGTGTGTCTGTTCTGTAGCATGGGTTGAACAAAACATAGTCCTGGTCCCCAGTATGCTCCTTAGCCCAAATCTAAGACATTTGGAAAGCAGAGGGCTTTCATTGTGCCAAGGAGGCTTAAGCTAAACCTCCAGTCGTGCAACGTTGGCACGTAAGGGAAGAGTCTGTTCTTAATTTTCTCATCATGTTTGTACACTCATTAGGCAGTGCAAGGGCACTATACATCGTCCTTGGTTAACTCAAGTAGGTACCGGTCCTAATGTACTATTGGCGTGATAGAATGACACAGCAGTTAAGTTATTCTTTGGGTAATGGCACAGAGCCAATGACATAAGCAACCATACAGCGTCTGTACGCTGTGTTCTTTATCTCGTTGTATTGTGGTATTGGAGAGTAACTCGAATCTTGAGTATCAGACACGGTCAAGTCAAACTGTATTTGGTATCGATCTATACCACTGAGAAATAGACATTTTTTTTAGCATTTTCGTGGGCTGGACGACTCACATTGTGAACTGTAAGGAATGCGTAAGTCGCACCTAGGTCGCACCCTGTAGTTGGGGTGTTTTGATCCTGATTACCCGTTTTATCTGGCTAAACCTAGCTCAGTACACAAGTATTCGTCTTCAGCCATCGAGCAAAGAAAATATGTAGATATGTACAGTAATACGACTTCAAGGCAATTCACTGACAGTCTTCCCGGTAAGCACAGGAAACAGCTGAGGACTTAAAATACCGACCTAAGGTACTACCTGCATGGTACATACCCGCTCAGCAACCTGCGAAGCACCGGGCGGCCGCACCGTGCCCTCCCCGTGACGCAGCCAGCACACCTCTCCGACAAGACTACTGGCAGGCCTCACGAGCAAGGCTTCGCCTCTCGCAGCTGCAGAGAGCCGTGACATCGTCCTTGACACGAGTCTATTATCTAGTCCTAGTGCAGTCCTTGAAAATTCTTCCTGTTTGAGTAAAAAGTCAGCCTACATGGCCGCAGTGTTTTCGCGCCACCTTTCTCTTGTGCGTGCCCCAGATACAGGTTGACCAGCCTGCCTGACAACTTCTGTTACCGTCTAGTTAATGCTATGACGACAATTGAAAAATCCCCAAGGGGGCTGAAGAGCGATTGTAGATCATTCAAGCAGCAATAAGCTAATTTCCTAAGCATATCTTTAGGTGGCTGCAAGATAGTATCAAGACAGTATCTTTCGGGCCGGGCAGCATTTAATATACGCCACCCGAAGTTTGGCCGAAAAAAAAAATAATTTTAAGATACTTGCGAAACCTATTAAACCCGGTGCTTGGAGTCAGGCAAGGTACTGGTAAAAGCGAACGATTTTTGCTTTCAGTCGGTTTCAGAGGGTCTGCGTATGGGAATCCTGGTAACGCTTAACGTAAATCCAGGAGGTTCGATAACGCTAAATGGTAAATTCAGGCAGGCCGGCAATCCGTCCCTGATGCTTAGCGGTGAATTATCTAATCTTAGCTGTTCGTGTCCCAAAGCTTTGATAGCGACTCATTGGTATAGTCATGTATGTATTCATGGAATGTCTGGGAAAATGCTCTCTTATGATTTGGCGGGCAATGTTAACGTTGCGTTCGACTACGCGATACAACGAATTTTTCAATGCCGCTTAATGTCCACGTCTCTCAGTGCAAAAAAAAATGATGTTGAAACAGATAAATTTGAGAGCAGGATATCTCTTAATTCTTAATAAAATGTTAATCATTGTAGTTTCAGCCAACAACTTATCTTATACCAAGTGCAACATTAGAAATGCTTTCTTTTATAATATTGCAGTGCAACAAATTACTATTCGATCTATGAATGTATTTCTGAACACACAAGAACACACTTTCACAATAGAGTAAAAAAATGTAAAATTTTTAATGTATACTGTTGCTATGTACACCTTTGTACAACCAAAAGTTTGGCACTTCATACAAAATATATTATTTACAGTACAATATCTTCTGCAACACAACTACTGGACTCTCAGTGCAAAATATTGTCTATGGCTTTGTGGAGGTGGTGGGGTCACATTGGGGCACATCTCAAAATTGTCATTCAAATAAAAAGTGTTAAGGAAAATTGTGATTCTAAATATCAGAATTAGGGAAATTCTATTTAGTTTTGAATCTATCCCTACTTATACATCATCCAAAAGTACACCATTTCAGATCAAGATGAGCCTTTGAGATGGCCCCTTATTTACAGCTGGTAGTTTGCACAATACAACAAACGGTATCAAGCAGCATGTCACCATGGCAACGGTTACATAGCAACAGTTCCTTTGTCTTTCCTGAAGTACCAAAAATCTACTCCTTCCAAGGTGTCCTTACGACGGTTTATAAAAACAAACAAAACAATTTATAACTTGTCTCGTAGCTTGAGCGTTTGAAACAACACAATGCTAAAAGCTAGTGATCATCAACATTGAGGTTTGGAATCCATGATTCTGTGTTGAATTTATCACGACGATTCTGTCTCACTCTTCTAACAGGCTACTGCCAGCGGCTATCCACTAAAAACATACATGAGGTACTCACAATTGGGTGCAGTACTACATAATTCCACTAGGTGGCACTGCCACCTTACTGAGAAGTCAGTGAAGCCTTCACTGAAGGTATGATAAAGTCAGGGCCAATCACAGTTCATGTTGGCCGCCTGATGTATCTTAGCAGTACCAAACTATTTAAATAACTTACAGTATCATTAAAAAAGGATAAAACCAATGACCCTCACACTGGATTGGCAATATTTGATCCAGGAGGGATAACATGATCAAATAAACAATTCGACAAACAATTATCGTACATACCATGATTGCATTCCAGAAAGGGCATTGTGCCCCTGCTACCTCTTGATAATTCTTCTTTTTTTACATTGTAGCAGAACTCCAAAACTTTACACTAAATATGTAAAAATACTTTCTGAAGTGAGTGAACTTTTGAGTATTTCAGATTCCTGCTACTTGAGGAATTTTTTTTGTGTTTTCTTATTGCTTCAATTTCCACATCAGACTTTTTTTACAAAAAGGGGTGATCTTTGACTAAAAGTCACTGGTAGCTTTCTGATGATGATGTTAAAACAATGCCACTTGGTCAAATGCGAAGTGTGATAGCAACAAAAAATGCCCCCCTTTCAAAAACAGTATCTGCAGTTCAGTTAAGTACAACAGTAGGGGACTAACATAGGTACAGTAGGCACATAGAGGAAAAAGCTTACAAACAATAGCTAAATTATACATTGACAATACAGTTGGCACAAATGTATATACTGACAGGAACATCGCAGTGTAGGAAAAGTGACGTATTGTCAGCACAACTCCATAACATTCTTACAAGCACCTTTCTCTTACACTATAGCCATGTGAGCCTATCTGGGCAAGATGTGCGAATCATGTAGCATTAACACTATGTGAGTACATGTCTTACATAGACATTTTTTTCTCCTGGAAAGTTGGCAAGACACAAGACAAGTTTAAACAGAAGTAGACTGTGTTTTGTGCAGCATGGCTAGTGCAGCCATAGCCTGGACCCTCAGACACACTGGCAGGGACCTTACAGCTCACTGAAATTAAACCAATGTAGACTGTGACATAGACTAGATGTAGACTGGCCATATTATGTAGACATGTAAAGTTTAAACCGATGTAGACTGTGTTTCGTGCAGCATGGCTAGCGCGGCAGTAGCCTGGTCCCTCAGGCGCACCAGCAGCTTGCCCTTGGCCCACGGGTTCTGGAGCTGGAGCGGCTGGTACGTGTCCGGAAGCTGACGCTCTCTCCCCGCGATGATCGCTACCAGGAAGAAGTTGTGGAGGAGGTCGTCGGGGTACATGGGTGACCCGGGGTCACGACTGCGCCCCGCCTTGTTGATCTGCCGCACCACGAGGTCGATTACCTCTCGGGAAGTGGTCTTGGTGGTGACATGGAGCTACAGAAGGAGAGGAAACATTTCATGAATACTAGAGCAACATTTGCAAAGCTAATACACAATCTTAACCTTCACATGGTCTAGCCTAACAAACTACTGCTCTGTTTATTCTTACTCAAACTTATGGTGACCAGCCCCTCCAACTCCAGCCTGCAACTTGCTAAATAATGTAAGAGTCTGCTACGGCACCACAGGGTGCTAGATACTGTTCCTGTTGCCTGAGTTCAGTGCTAAGAATTAGTCTCTTGAACCTTGAACAGAGCGAATATCTTAATAAAAAATCCAAACTGTGTCCTACCTTAACACTTGTTCCCTTGGCCAGCCCAGTGTGGTAGTCTGGGTAAACTCTCAGGATCCCTGCCTTGGTTGACCCTGTCAGAATCTCAGTCTTCGTTGGTCCGTAGCCGCCCTCTGTTGTCCCCTGCGGCGAGGAGACGTCCTTTTGTCTGTTCACGGGTGAGATGCTGCGTGATCGGACGCGGGGGCGGGAGGGGGAGGCGTCCCTGACCAGCACCAGGGCCGGCTCCAGGGGTGGGGAGAACGGCACGTGGGTGGGGATGGGCGAGGTGCCCTTCGACACGCCCTCCTCGTCACTCGTAGAAGAGCACACCTCAGGGCTTCTCCTGGCAAAGTTGTCGTCTGAATCTGCAAGGAGGAATGGAAAGTGTGTTAGACCACAGTTAACTGCCAAAATATCTTATGAAGTGCCTACAATACAGCACAAATATAAAGATCAGCAATGAACAGAAAAATTCTGTAATTTAAATCTACTGGCTGGTTTTGAATAGTCTTTCCTTGAATTACAAAGAGAATGCTTACCTGAGGACCGCCTGGTTTTGGGCAGGGACAGCTGTGTGGGCACTTTTGGCACAGACGGTGTTGCTGACTGGTATATTCTCTCCACCAGGAGTCCTCCATCTGCTGTTCTGTCCCGCGCGTACTGCAGCACATCCATGATCCACCGCGCGCCTCGCCAAATGTCTTCCAGGTCCTGTTAGGACAATACCAAGAAGAGAAAAAACTTCAGAAAGAGTTCTTATACTCAATACTATCAGGAAATTAATTAGCCTGCATCACACAATACTTTGCTGTCAACTGATTGGAAGGGATGCTAGAAGCGCAATGCAGTCAGCCTAACTTTTACCATTTTCATCATTATACATGTATTGTTCCAATTGGATGTTCTGTGAAAATGTAACAGCTCTCATAAACTAACTCTCCTATCATATAGATGTAAAGCTAGCATCTCGTATCTGTCTTAGTAAATAAGGGCTAACTTGCTGTAACATCCTTGAGATGATGAGAATAGTATGTTCTGCTATGTTACATTACAGCCACACCAATACACAAAGGGTCCACCGCTAATGGTTATTCTAATAAAGTTTCAAATAAATAAACAAAGTGAATGACCTGCTGGAAGTTGGCTATTCTGAGCTGCCTGTGTTTAGCTCCGGACAGTTCTGAGTCGGAGAAGGCCTCCCTGCACTGGTGCTGCACCAGGAAGTTCTCCACCTCCAGTTGGGACGACAGGGTGGCGTACTGGTCAAAGAAGTTACGCTGGAATGTTGTCATATGAACTGCAGAAAAGATAAAACAAATACTGAGTTAATGTCTGCAATATATAAACACTTAGGGTAACTAAGTCACAATTAGGTAAAAATACTTATTTTCATGGCTTCAAACAACATAAAAAACATTATTCATCCCTTTGCAAAGATAGAACTTGCTACATACAGAATGAATGAAAACAAAGCCTAAGGGAAAACCTACAGATTCTGTAATACTTATTCTGATATAAACATTCCAGAGCATACTCCTGTAATTGTTAATGCAAGTCTGTATCATACTGTGGAAAGTAATGTGACTTATCAAAACAGTTGTTAAGCTCACCTAGTTCGAACACCTGAAGAGGCAGTGTGAGGAAGGAGTCTTGCTGGAACAGGTGATGCGTCTGGCCAGGTGCGCAGCACACCTCCTCCACAGGTGGGACAAGCAGCAGCATCGAGACGTTGTGGTCCAGCTCAAGCACTTCTGTACAGAACAACCTGCAGGTACGAGAAGTTACAACTTGACATACGGTACTACCTGAAGCTGGTGAAGGTTAGACATTCAGCGAATGAGATACACAAGGAACCTGTTAATCAATCAAGTGAATAGATTTGAAAACTATTAGATGTGTCCAGGTTTAACAGTAACAATTTTATATTTTTGAAAAAAAAAGTGTAGTTTGAATGAAATTCTGGGGTGTAAAATGATGTGTGCGCTCCTAAATTACCGTGTCTGCATATTACTTTATGATAACCAAAAAGTGCTGCTAAAATTCTTACCTGTGTTGAAGTGCGTCCTCCTCTGAGATATCCAAGGAGTTGAGCAGCCTTTTGGAGGCCCTGATGAGCTGGTCTCTGAATATGGACTGTGCCTGGCTGGGTTTGGGGTCCTCCTCTGTCACCTGGAGAATGAGTTACAAATTCAAAGGTAAAGAATTGAAGAAAAAAATGCCTTACATTCACTATTATATGAAATATTCCTGTGAAGGACATATTCCTATCTATCTCAAACACTATAAATGAACAGTAAATCTGGCATGAATACACAGGAGACAAAAGTTCACAGGTCAGCAAGGCAAAACTTCAATTCACGACCCTATTGCCAAGTTTTTAAAATCTAATAAACTTTACATATTAAGACCCTACATGTACATGTGTAATCAGGAGACAAAAGTTCACAGGTGAAAGGTCATCTCACCTCCCCACTGCCCAGCCTGCGGACCCAGTCCCACTCCTCGCTGGACACGTTGGGGTTGTCCCTGATGCGACAGTGGGGCAGCATGTTGGGGTTACCCTTGGGCACCAGCACACCGATGGAATCCATGGAGCTGCACAGCTTCAGGTAGCCGATGTACAGGCCCTTGGGCGGCGGCTTGGTGCTGTTGTGATTGTAGTGCATGATCTCCTGCAGGATGGTAAAACATGTTTGGTTATCTCTTGGGAAAGTCTGTGATATTCAACATCAAAAAGAGCTTCAGCTAGCTGATGTGGAGGCCCTGTTCTGTTGTAATTGTTGTGCATGATCTCTTGAGGAATTAGTAAGACTTGTTTGGTTAACATCCTGTAAAAATCTCAAGTATAAATGTAGCAACATTAAATACACATTCGGAATAGCATGGTTCTTGTTACAGCAAAAGACTGACTTACAGGGATTCTGTTGAGAAGTCTCTCCAGAGCGCTGGGGTCCTCTGCTGCAGACATTCTCCGTCTCTGGAGCCGACTGATCGGCACCCACTTCAGAGAAGAAGACTGGACGTACTTTGGGTCCTGAAGAAATTATGACGACGATTGTTTAACACATAACAGGACAACATTGTACATTTTCAATAAAAAAGTTGGGATCACATGAATTCTTGACCTAAATACTGTAGGAGACATCAATCTATTTTCTTGGTTTTACACATTTCAAATGAAAACAACAGCTATGACTAAAATTTGCATTTGATCAACATTCAATCCCTGGTCTTGTGTACGAATTTTCCCATGATTTGATTTCAGTTAAATTATTCCATTCCGCTTCATTTTGAGAGCCAACAAATCAAATTTGTTTAGCCTTAACTTCTTGTAGAAAAAAAAGACAAACAGAAACAACATCAGAAGGAACTGGATGTTTTTTATGAGGGGAAGCTACTGACCTTGACTTGTCTGACAGTTGGAATGACGATGGATCCATGGCTGTCCTTAATCACTGTGTGGTACACATAACCCAGGTCCTGCACTCCCAGGGAATTCTGCAACAACATCACAGAACACAGCTTAGAACAATTATAAATATGCAGTTCAACATGAGCTACTTGACTTTCCTTAGTAACTACTTTTATCAATTCAGTCATTTATATACCAGGTACTCTTGTTTTTAGACTCATTCTCTGAGTCATTGATGCAATTTCTTGATCTATGCTGTTACCAAGACCTCAGCTTAGCAGCTGTGCTGAGCAACATTCACAAATTTTACATTTGCCTTTGATTTTAACTAAAATCCATGCCTACTTCTGTTTGTATCAAGTAATAGGTGAACACTAAGTGGGTGAATATAGGTTTATTTGTGCAAACACAAAACCTTTCCCTGATGCGCATGGAAGCAAAGATGGAAAAACAAAAACAACAGGAAGTAGTCACGTATGCTGTATAATGCCGTAAGTACACACAGGCCTTTCCTGTTTTCGAAAGTGAAATGACCTTTCCCTCCTACTCACTCTGTTACATAAAGTGTATCTGCTTTCATTTTTTATGTTAGACTGTGGGCTACAATAATGTCATTTACGTAAAAAAAAACACTACAAGTAGGTCAAGCTAACAAATCATTATAAGTTGCAAAGTTCGTTGCTATGTTATACAAGGTCCAAAAGGTGTCATATGTCAAATAATCCATGGGTGCATCATGACCATTGACACTTGCTCTCTTACATAAGGCAACATGCTTTACACTGTATTACACTGAAAGCCAGAGGCATTAAGAGCTAGAAGCCAGTTGCCAGAAGCCATTTTAACCTACATGTACCTCCCGAGGTGTTGTTTATATAAGGTCTGTTGCTATGTTAATTGTATGTTCTATAGATGATATGTATAGAAGGGGCGCATTATGACCTACATGTATTCATTTCAGGTGGCACTTCATTGACACTTGCTCTCTTATATAAGGCCCCACGCGTATTGTGCTCTAAGCCAGAGGCATTAAGAGCTAGAAGCCAATCGACAGAAGACATTTTAACCCACTCGTTGCCCTATCAGATGAGTTCAACTGTTTCGTAAGCAGAATATGACCGCCTCCAGTGATCTTCAAAGATTAAACCTGCGTAGCTTGTTGTTTATATAAGGTAATTCTCATTCAAGTCTGGGACGACATGACCTGCCGTGGATTATGCAGCGACAAATGGGAGAAGTTGAAACATGATCTATCGGTAGTGACGCAAGTCCCACAAACTTTGATGAGGGAGGCCAGTGACAGGTTAAAGCTTCATGGCCTTTGATGCAGATTTTCTGCTTTTCTAGTTTGACGTTTTTGTTGAGACTTCAAAGCCGTGACATGGTAGGAGAGGAAGAAAGATGTCAAATGACCTGGGAACATATGTCACTTACGAAAGATGGTTACGAAACAGTTCATACAGGTTCATACATTACTCCGGGGGTTAAAAATTTGAAATCTGATGAAATAATTCTCTGGTAACTGTAATTGAAATCAAAGGACGATCAGTTCAAGACAAGGCTCGTTTTCTTTTTTTAAAATCTCAAACAAACCCTTTGACAGAAAAAGTTGAAAAAGGCTAAATTTAGAATGATTTGATGACTTGACAAACCTAAATCAGCAACATCTAGGTTCAGCTCCCCTTTATTTGTTATTCTGGATCTTTGTCTTGTCTATTACTATTAGTAAGGGCAATCAAAGTTTCTGTGCAGCATTAGCGATTTGTGAGCCTCACCTGGATTTATATGGATGTACAAACAGTATGTGAGTGAGAGTGACTGACCTGGAGTTGTATGGCAGCCTGCAGGAGCCGGCTTCTGAAGGATGCAGACGAGGCAGAGGCACACCTGTCCAGATCCTGGCGCAGCTGTCTCAGATCCGACCAGGTGCAGGACACCTGCAACAGGTGAACAGATCATGTTAATTTAGCAGAAAGGTAGTTAGAAAAAGTTTTATCTTATCTCATTTTTATTATTTTTTGTCATCCATTTTGTCTTTTTATCATGTTGCAAATTTTCATTTTATAATAATAATTTGTTATAATTGTAATCATGTTTTTGAGGTGAGAGCTCTTCATTAACATTTTCCTTTCCACCCAATCATCATAAAACAATCCCAATCCCCTAGCCACCAAAGATGTCAAGGTTCCATATTTCTAAATATGATAAATAGAATGAAATAAAATAAAAATCAAAAGTGTTACCTTCATGAACCAGTGGAGATCCAGGTTGAGCATGCTGGGAAACGTGTCGTCCACCTCGACGACTGGAATGTTGTCCTCGCCCGTGACCAGGATGTGGTCTCCGTGGTACAAGATGGTGGCCAGGTACACCCCTCTGCTGCAGGGAGCAAGGTCAAACCAAGGTCACGCACGTAGCAGGGGAAGTAAACATCCGTTGGGGGATAAAAAGCCCCCACAGAGAGTGTAATTTGTCACATCCGTTATGGGATCTCTGATGGGGGCGGAGTGTTTGCTGTGCATTTGGAAGGCCTGTGGTTCAAAACCTGGCAGGGTCATACTGAAGACGACAAATGGTACAAACTGGCTCCTCTGCTTTGCACTCTGTACTTATTATGATGAGTACATGTAACAACATTTTTTCCTAAGCCAAGTACTACCTCGCAACAAAATAACATGAAAAAAATCTGTTCAATCATTTAGCAACAGCAACAAACAGCAGTACAAAAAAAAGTACAAGTTAAATTCTGACCTTTTGAGATTGCGGTGGAACTTGACTGACTGGAAGAAGTTCTTCAGACCCTTCTTCATGGAGCGCCGCATGTGAGGTGGGGAACCCTTCGGAGAACTGTGGGTGGCTGGACAGGTCAAAATAACACATGGTTAGCTGTTTGTGAGGTTATGAGAAAAGCTCATCTGTAGTGATTCATCTTTCTATTGGAGAAGACTACAAATTTGAAAGTTGAAGAACTCATACAAATACAGTATATGTATGGTGCCTTTTTAAGGACTAAAAATTAAAAAGGGTTTCAAAAAAAAAATATCAAACTCAGAAAACTTACAGATAGTGTCTGCTTCAAGCATCTTGGCATTCTTGATCTGTGTCTTCAAGTCCTCGAGCTTCTTGAGCCGATGTCTGTCCTGAGACTCTGCTACCTCCAGTTCTCTCCAGTCTACAGTTGAAACACAAGAAACAGTGAGGAAGGCCAAGGCATCAAAAGATTTCTTTAAATGTTAAAAGTAGTCAACATACAAGAAGATCATACAAATTAAGTCAACTAGCTTCAACTATACCAACACATTATCTAAAATAGAGCATTGTGACAAAAAAGGGGTTTGGGAGACCAGACAATCAGCCTCACAGGTAAAAAACAGACCAGTAAGTCACAATGAAGCATAAAAAAACTTGCAAGCCTACCACCAGAATGATCAGAATGTAAAACAGGGTGCTATCCAGTATGTGATGTACAAAATACACAACTATGAGATTTTCAGCACCAAGGACAGCACCATAATAAAAATTTTATCCATCTCCAAAACGGCATTTGAGGCTAATGATTGGGTCCATTTCAGTCTTCAGGAGGATGCAGCAGCACCATTCAACGTAAATCACAGCAACATGAGAAATCCCACGACACCCAGGTCAGAATGTGCTCAATTCACAGGGACCAATGTGAAAAATCAGATTCACAAAAACACTATGAGTTGAGCAGACGGTAGAAAAACAATATGTCTCAAAGCCTTTCTGAAAGAATTTTCTTTGCATGGTACAGAAATAAGAAGATTCACAAAATCACTATGAGCTGAGAAGATGGTAGAATAACAAACTGGCTGCCTCAAAGCCTTTTCTTCACATGCCCAGTAAAATCTTGAATGGGTTACCACAAAGTGAAAAACAAATAGAGAATTAAAGATCAATACAGTCATGACTTACGAGAAGATAGTACGGCTGTGAGCAATAAGTAGAGAAGTATAAAGATTGAACATGACTTACTTGACGGTACTCCTGCCGGTGGTATGGTGGCCTTGGTCGGTCCCCATCCCTTCACGTTGCAGGCCGACACTCGCACGTAGTAGGTGTTTCCCTGCAGACAATGCATGGCAGAAACCTTCATCAAAACCTGCCTGAAAAAACTGGAAACTTTCCCGCAAGCCTTCCTACAGCAGCGGGAAGCTTTGTCGAGTGGTTTGCCTCGGTTGGAAGCGGCAATTCCGAACATCTAGACCGGTGGGGAAGCGATTTAAATTTAGGACTAAGTGCTGTTGATGCTAACTATGGGCACAAACGCGGTGTGCGATCCCTCTTTAGTAGCAAGCTAAACTGATCAGATGAAGGAAACTACGTGAGTTTTATAGGCCTGGTCACAAGGCCGGTGACGTAGTAGGCACGTGAATGAAGCCTCCAGACTTGTGATAATAATAAACAGGGAGATCCCTTGTGGCCACGCCTCAAATGGGCTTCTGAGAAACAGGAAGTGGAAATGGCTCGGGGTGATTGGTAGAGACGCTGCCGCCTGTTTATGATCCAATAATAGAGAGATGATTGCCTGCATATCAAAATCTCATGTGGGGGCCACGGTGCACAATTAATCAACCGACCAAATAGGGCATTGAAGTGCTGTCAGGTTGGTGTTGGGCATGTCTACACTATTGCACTGTTTTGTATCTGTCTCGTATGTTTGTATGAAATGAGACGTATTGATAACTAATAACTTTGTTGCAAAGTAAACTAAAAGGCTAATTGCAAATTAAGAATATTAAGAATTTCTGTGTTATGGGCCTCTTAGTGCCTGAAATAAATACTGGTAAAAGTAAAGAGATTGGGTGATGTTTTTCACATCACAAAGCTTTAGCTTCCTGTTTTGGGGCTCAAAGTCATTACATCATTTCTGTTCATTTAACTTCTATAAATACACATGTATATGATATTTGCCTTTTATGAATTATTAAACAGTCTGCTACGTGAGGAGTATAATGACTTGTTCTGAATGAACAGCTAATTTTGAAGCTGTCAGTTCAAAAGGCCCTAGAGCTGTCATCTTGACATCCTTCACCTGTTGACAAGGATCCTGGCCTTAAAGGAATAAGCGGAAGGAGGTTGATGAGAAAATGTGGAAGCAAGAAAGAAAACATCTGAGTCATGATGCACATGTAGTGCATGCACATAAACGTGGGTAATTTCTGTCTCTGATGGTTTTGTGCTGTGTAGCAGTATTGTACTTCGTCACATTATTTCCTGCTGCCTACAAATCGGAACTGGCTTCAAAACTTGCGTAGGAGCTTCTGTTTCTTACAGGCACTGTTGTACAGTGTATCAAGAAATTGTACTACGTCACATGTTTTTCTGCTTCAGAACTGGTTTCATAACGTGTAGGTGTTGCAGTTTCCGACAGGTTTTACAAAAACTTCTTATTTTCTTTCCGTACTTTGCCCAATTTTTATGCTTCCTATCAATTCAAATGATTTCAGAACTTGCGTAGGTGCTGCTGTCTCTGACAGGTGTTGTTGTACATTTG